GGAAAGAGGTGGTCGCTCCGGCTATATCCACACTGCACAGTGAGCTCCAGTGCTTGGCTCCCAGGTCTAAACACTCCCGTTCGCCTAGCCCAGGGACCAGCATCCCCGCTGCACAGCCATCCCCACATCACCGTGGCCTGTGTCTCTGCCCTCGCGCACACGTTCGGGGCACGCTCTGTGGTTCTCTGTGCCAGGCTTTTCCAGGCAGTTATAGCCCCTTGGAGGGGCAATGGAGGAAGGACCTAGGAGGGCTATTGGCCTTTGAGTTATTTTGCTTGCATCCACACTGCCAAGCAGCAAAAGCTAAAGTACAGCTCAGGCTACACTTTATTCCCATATCCCCAATTATGCAAGCAGCCAGGGTGGGGAGGGAAGTCAACATGCAAACAAGCCTATGCCCGAGGGTGTTTTGCATGGATGGCGTGCGGGAGAGACTGGGTGGGCGCGTGTCTAACAGTGCAAGCTAAGACCGCGGTACCCTACGGTGACACACAGACAAACCCTGAAAGGCCCAGACTTAGGAACCGAGATGTGCCCAAGCTACAGAGTTTAGGGGAAGATCCCTGTGTATCCGATTCCTTGTCCCCAAAGCCTGTCAATGCCTCCAGGGCTCCTATTCACTGGTCTTGACCTGCAGGGGGAAGTTAAGGCACCCAGGATGGGAGGAGTGCATCTGTCCCGAGGATATGAAAGAATTGCCCCTGTAGCCCTGGTGAGGCCCCATGCTTGCTTGGACAGGCAGGAGTTAATGGAGAATGACCCTGGGGCCTGACGATGCTTCTTTATTAGCAAATCGTCGCATTGAAGCTGTCAGCTAATCTTGCCTTTTCCCAGCCAATCCACATCTAGGATCAAATAATGAACTCAAATTGCTTTTATGGGCTCCCCACACAAAACCCTCAGATCCCTGATTTCCCTTATACGATATATGCATCGGCAGCTCATGATTTGTTAAAAGGATTAAGCTTCATGAAGGTACTGTGTTTTCTCCCATGCTGTAAATCGCTTGTGGTTACTAGAGAGCTAGAAGTGCCCTTAGTATGGGGGTGGGGAGCTTCCAATCGATCCAAATTTATTATCTCTCCATTGACATAAGCCTGTGCAGCGCCAGCATTTTCCAAAGGACTGATATGGTATTTGTGCTTCACAAGAATACAGCGATTGACTCACTGATACAGATGCATGATCCACCCTGTCCTGCCTCTTCCGGGGATAGCGGCTCATTTCAGATGCCTCCGGGAAATATTTTAAACCTCTCCACCCCCCGCCCCCTCAACACCCACTAAATGATTGCACCCAGTTTGGCAATTTCTCCTTCACCTCGGCTAATTAGCACAAGCACAGATCCCACTTCCTTCCCCCCCCTGCCCGCCCGCACTCCCTTTCCCAATTATCATCCGAGTCAGTCGCATCAGAGGCTGCGCATTCCCTTTGCTCACAGCACCGAATGCGCTGCCGTACATGCAAAACAACTGTGCGCCAGCAGCTGTTTGAGCTAAAGCTGCCTGTGCTGCAAATTGAGTTGAAAGCATCATTTTGCTCTAACGTATTTACAACTGCAAAAAAAAAAAAAAAAAAGAGGGAGGGAAAACTACCCCCCCCCACGCAAAGCAAACCGACCCGAAACAAATTACACTGCAAATGTGAAGCGACATCAATGCTGACAAAGGCACAGAAACCCATCAACGCTTTTACCAGTCAGGCTGTGTAACCCTCGGCAAGAGCCAAGCTGGGAACTTCTCCAAGGGCACATTTGCATTCCCCCATCGCCTTGTTGTAAGAAGTACAAGAAGGGCTTTCAATGCCCTTTCTTGGTGCACAAGGACGAGCAGCCAGGAGAAAGGGCTCCTGTATGGGGGCCATCCTGTGCCAATGCTGCGCTGAGCTGGGCCAGCGCTCTCAGGAAGAGGCACGGAGGCGTTTGTAAGAGAGGGAGAAAGCCACATTTCACTCCAGCTATCGGGCTAGGCTGGGCACACAATCCCAACCCGGTCTGATCCACTTCTCGCACCAGCGGGCCAGCCAGTCCTATCCTGGCATTTGCTCCCTCTGGATAACCTCCCTTTCCCTTGCCTTGGGGCTGCCCTAAGTGCTGCAGGGTAATGTTTCTGACACCGTGAGGTCCCCAAGGAAGTGTTTTCCCTTTGAGAGTCATTAGAAAACCCCTCATATAACAGGGATGCTGCTGTAAACCAACACGTGCATAATAGAGATCTGCAGGAGGTGGGTTTGAGTCAGCTCAGCTCCTGAGCCGGACCCACTGGAGAAGCAATAAAGCCACTATAGCAATATGACTTGTCCTGTGTGCCCAGGTGATACACGAAGGGAAAGACCCATGCTTAACCCTTCTACCCTGTTTTGCACCATCCTCACAAACGGGACGGAGCAAGGAGCAAAGGGCCTGGAGAAGGGTGTAAGAAGGTCCCAAACCCTACAAACCTGGCCAGAACTGACCCATTGCCATAAAGGACTGGCTTTTTAAAACCACAGCGGGTGTTTCTGTGCAGCACGGGGCTACAGCCTGAAATGACTAGGTGCTTTAAGACCTTGCTGAGGATCAGGGGTGGTCTGCGACCTGCAGGGCTGCAAGCTGCCAGAAAGGTGGGAACCGAATGAGGAGGAAATTTGAGCAAGAGTTTCTTTCCCCATCACCCCAGTGCGGAGGGGAGGCTGAGCTGCCCGGCGAGCGGCAGAGGGACCTAGCATCAGTCCTGCAAGCCTGCTCTTGAGAGATGCTGGGCACCTATAGCTCCCATTAAGTAACGAGCCAGCACTTCCATTCGAGCATTAATACTGCTCCCAGGAGGCTGGGGCAACTCCAACCGTGTGCCAAGGTCAGCTCCTCTTTGGTGCCCATCGCCAGGCAGATGATGGTGCCACCTATGTCAGCCCTCAGAGCCCCCCAGGACTGCGGCTATTTTGATACGTGTCCCCCAGCCGAAAGGAGACATACCTTGGCCGCGTAATGCAGCGCTGTGAGCCGGAGGGACGTCGCTCTCTCGTCGATGCCAACGCCCAGCTCTGAGACGAGGAACCGGATGGCTTCATCCTGTGCCGTGACCGCTGCCAGGTGCAGGGGCTGGGCCCCCAGGGCATCCCTTGCAGTGTGGCAGGCCTAGGGGGACGCAGAAACCAATGCCGGATGGTCAGGAAGGTTTAAGCGCCTGTCGCACCCCGCACGCCTGCCTGTTCCTAAAAGGCCGACGAGAACATAGCACATCGTTCAGAAAAAATTCCTCACCCTCACCCAGCAGGGTGAAGGTGTCGAAGCAGGTTGCAGGTAGGCAATAGCTTCTTTATCGTGCCTCTACCATGGCTAGAGCTTGGGTTTCCTCTTCCGTAGACTGGCATGAGTTATAACAACTCTACTGAGGCCCATTGCTTTTTCACTTAAGACCATAGGAGAGGCCATCCTGGGTCATCCCAGAGGTCCATCCACCTCTGTACCCCGTGACCTCCCTCTAGACACCGAGGAGGGCTTGAAGTTCCTCGTAGGTTTAGCTAGACACGGTTCTTTGGGCAAATCCGATATCTTTTATGAGACCGACTCAAATTTGGTCTAATAAAAGATATCAGATTTCCCCGATGAACCTTGTCTGCCTGTGTCCTTAGACCAACACAGCTACACCCTGTACCCCTGTATCGCAGGTCTAGGCCCTTCGTTATATAATAAATAGACCTGTTTCTCACAATGGCACAGAGTAGGTGCATCAATGCCTTGATCCATGCCCTGTCCTCTCCCCCTACAACTCCCAGCATTAAGAGACCTAGAAGTCCTAATTTGGATGCTGCATCCTTAGCTGTCATGTTGGACCCATCCACCTTGCATTTGTCCGGTCTCCTTTTAAAGAGTTTTTTTTTTAATGTTCTTTTAAGTTTTCAGACCCTAAGCTGCCAAAAGCAAAATAAGTAGTGGAGAGTCTGTTATTTCAAATGCGCAGTTGGATCTAGCAGCCTCTCTATAATGTCTGTCATTGCAAAGGAGATGCCGGGTGGCTGCAGGGAGAAGCTGGGAACCACAGCTGTTATGGGCGTGTGAAGCTAATGGCCTTTACAGCCAGATGGTTGTTGAAATGGCTACGATGTCTCCAGTGCTATCAGCCTTGGGGCATCACTCACATCTAGAAATGCCAGATAATGAGCTGGAAGAGGGAGAAAATTACTCCTGGTTCCTCATCTCAGCCTTTCACCAACTCCCTTTGCACTCTTGCTGGGCCTCAGTTTCCCAGTCTGTAAAGCAGGAACGATACATCCTCTCCCATCACCCCATGCACCTGCCCCACTGTTGGCTGATGATCTAGTGCAGATGGCTGCATCATCCATGGTCTGCAAATTTGGCAGCAGGGGAGTGAAAATTAATGCTGCCACCATGCCCTCCCCACCCCGTTTCTGGACCCGTGGGCTGGTGACATGGTACCTGGGGCTGGATCTGGCCTGCGAGCAGGAGATCAAGCACCACTGATTTAGCTAATATTTATAAGATGTACTGATGGCGAAAGGCTCATGAGGGACAGACTGGGCTTCCTTGACTGCCCTTCACACACACAGTCACGCTGTGGCCAAGACAATTGTATGGCAACTCCTTGCCAAGGGAGTAAAAGACTCACAATCAGCCCCTAGTGAAAACCCACCATACATCAAACCCTGACTTTTACTCACTTTTCCACTAAGTCCTCACTGGGCCAACTCTCTTTCTACCTCCAGTGGGAGTCAATCTAAGCAAAGTCTGTAAGATTTAGCTGTCTTTCCCAGCTAATCGCATCCCCTTTGCTGGGTGCCTGGCCCCGAAAGGAAGTCAATGTACCTTGTGCTTTTCCAGAAGCAGCCGGGCTATATCCATATGCCCGTTCTGTATTGCATCCATAAAGGGCGTGATGCCACAATTGTCCCGACTGTCGGGCTTGTACTGGCACCTGGGAGAGAACATAAAACAAGAGAGGGCTGAATTCACTGGAGCCCTTTGGGCTGCAATGGGGTTGGAGTTGAAGCTAGAGAGTGCGTTTACACGTTCATTAATGCGCTGTAATTATGGCGCATTGAGTCCTTGTAATAAACAGGTACTAACTTAATGTGCCATAATCGGCGCTACTGCACATTAGTGTAGATGAATGCTTTTTTAAGTGACATTAATGCACATTAGACTCAATCTACTGTGCATTAGCGCAGGGTTTGCCTGCCATGCTAATGCGCAGTAGATTTAGGCTTCTGCACATTAAGCATCTCATGTAGATGCACCCACAGGGGTGCAGCTGGGGCCTATCAGTGTCTGTAACACGACGGCTTTAGATGTGCAGACAGGGCCGACTAGAACAAGAGGGCATGGGGCCATTTGGGGCTCAGAGCTCTTCTCTGGGGGGTGAGCGTCACCCTCACACAGTGAAACAGCAAGTCTCTGCCCCACTTAAGCATTTCCATAGGACATGCAAGGGCAACAAGCATGGTGTTGGCACGGGGAGGAGCCTTGCCCTTATTCCACACCGGTGGCATCACATAAGCCATCATTATTGTGGGCCAAATCCTTGCACAGGGAGAACTCCCATCCAAGTGAATGGAAAGTGGTCTCAGTAGAAGCCCAAAACAGAGGCTTTTGTCTAATAATATGGTGATGGGTCAAATTCACTTCAGGCCAACTGGAAACCAGGCTTTAGTAGTGCCAAGAGAGGTGTGAGGATGTGGACGTATCCTTCCCTTTGTTTGGGATCTTTCAGAGGGGTAATGCAACTCTACCGGGGGCAATGCTGAGCAGGAAACAGGCGATGCCAGGATGTCTGGGTATGGACCATTTCAGTGCAGCTTCAAATGTCCGGGCAGACACTAGACAGGACCTTGACTGGCAAGAGAGCAGAGCAGGCACGATGACGATGGTTGCGCTGCCAGCCCTCCTCGTGAGATGAACCCCAGCCCTGCCGCACGGTGGCTCTCACTGCCATGCACAAAGGCAGTGGTTGGGATGGGTCATTATCCCTGCGGATGTTACGCCAGGCACAAACTTGCCCCAAGGGATTTCTTTTTTCTTTTTGGTTGCCGTAAGGACTCGGACCCATTGAAGGCAACCCGAGTGATTGAGCTGAGGAATAAAGAGCCCGCTAACGTCCATAACTGGGGGCTCACAGCACAGTGACGTCTGAGACAATTCAGAGAATAAATTTGTCTCAAATCCCCGTAATTGGCTGTGAAAAAGCCAGAGGCAATTGATATATTCTTAGGGCTCAAGAAGGAGCAGCTGTGCGGCTGGGATTGCTGCATGGCACAAATGTGCTTTGTGTCCGTGTCGTCTGGAGCACGCCTGGTCCTGTGATGGGGAGGAGGGGTGGCAGGGAGAGGGTTGGCAGAGCAGAGTGTGTGTGTGCGCGCGCACGCACATGTGCACATGTATATGCATGCAGCAAACAAGGATAGGAAGCACCCTTACCGCTCAAGCAGCACTTTCACTACGTCGAAACAGCCATGCATTGCTGTGAGAGAGAGGAAGTGGATGGTAATTCATGCTTGCATGGATCCTCCCACCTACAAAGGAAAATCCTACAGATTGGGTTTGTGCCCCTCTGGGCTTAAGTATGATGTATAAAGAAACCCCCCCAAAACGTTTCCCACCTGTATTTTTTATTTAGATACAATCAGGAAGTCCAAAGCAGTCCTTTTTTTCTGGAAACTTCAAGGAAACCTCCAGATAAAACGGGAGGAAAAAAGCAGAGTGACAGGTTTACTTGCCCTCTCCAGCGTGGTGTGCGTGGAGGGATTGTATATCCTGAATCTCAGCAAATAAATCTTTTTCCCTGGGTATTTGTTCGTTCTCTAAGTTAAACAGGGATTCAGCAAAACCAACAGGAAACAAACAGTTTTGAACGATCTGAATAATATTGCCCTCCCTTTTCGGGCTTGGATCTCATTTTCTGGCTAATTGAGTCATGATCCCACTAGCTCCGCAGTCATCCATTGAGTCCCTCTTAGGGGAAAAACAGGGCAGAAAAAATCTGAATTGCAAATGGAAAAACCTTTCTTTATCTATCACACTGCAGCAAAATGGGGATGCTTCCCTATTTTTTTCCCCTTCCTTTTCCAGTCATTTTTAAGAAGTAAAAATAACCCCACAGATTATTAATTCAGGCTATTCCCTCTCTTTGATTAAGGATTCAGATCAAACGTGTTTGATTCCTCAGCTCACAGATCACAGAGCAAGAAGAGTGCGCGGCATATAGAAAATACCAGTGAATGCAAGTCTTAGTTGCAACAGCGACGGCGCAACAATGAACCTGGTGTGCTGTGACCACCGCTTAACAGCACTGATCACAACCGCCTGATTGTTACACTGCCCTTCCTGCCTTTTGTGGCATCTCCCCATTGTCTGGTCTCAGACTTCGACTGTAAACTCTTTGAGGCAGAGACTTTTTGTACTATGGGTTTTCAGTGCCCCATACAACAGAGCCTTGATCTTTGCTTGCAGCCTCCTCACCATGTGCATAACCTTTCAAGGACACCTGGAGCACAGCACAGCTATTGAGGGAGGAACAGCCTGCCATTATGAATGCAAGTTATGATAATAAACTGCACTTCTTTTGCATACTGCAAGGATCACAGGACACTGCAGATAATTAATTAAGCCTTGTGGCACCCTTGTGGCCCGAGAAAATATTATCACCTGCATGTCACAGGTGGGGATTTGGGGCAGGGGGAGGTAAAGCCATTTGCTCTAGGTCACACAGGAAGTCTGTGGCAGAGACAGGACCAGCATCCTCAGCTATGAACTGTAATTATAAACCCATCCGTCCTCCAACTGGAGCCGCTGAGTGATCATTTATTCCAGTAATTGAAATTCATGGTCTTAATTCAGATGTGAGATCATAACAGTTGGCACTGGTACAGCTCCCTGCATCTGCAACTCTCAGAGTGCTCTGCACGCAAGAGAAGAGGGCACCGGCCCTGCTGGAGCGAAGGTGGAGCACTACTTTCCATTCAAAGAAGGGCTGAGAGGTCTAAGATTGAGCTTGAGCTGTCAAATTTTCCCCGTGCTTCTTGCAAACACTCAAAGTATGGCTCTGACGCTCCCCAAACTCATCTCAATTGCACAGGATTTATCCCAACTAATGCAAGACACTAGCGGTGCAAAAGTTATTGACCTCAGCATTTGGAGACCCCACGCACCCACTCCGTCTGGCAGTGGGTGCAGGACAGACTGGCAACGGCAGCCAGGCACAGTGAGCTGGCGCCGCGAGGGCTGCCGGGAAGCCAAGTCCAAGTCCACACCTGGGGGCAGCAGGACTGGCCGCACGAGCCATGCCCCAGGCTGCCCATTGCACCTGGGCTGGGTGGGGGCCAAGGGACCCTCTGCAGGCTGGATAAAATCCCTTGCCCATCCCTGAGATAAATGGAGATGGGTGGTAGGGGAGAGGATTAAGATCTAAATGTCAAATGTCCCAAATGATGGGTTATCTGCAGCACTGTTTCTAGCAGAGTAGCCCGCCAGTGGGCTAGGAAGCATGCCCGGTAGCCCAGAGGAAAGCTGAAGGGAAGCATGTAGTGGGGCGAATGAAAGAGTCACTGAGCTAAAATTGCCCTTTCAGTTCAGACAATCTTTTCCAATCTTGGCATCTCACATCAGACCAAGAAGAGTACCGGTTACCTCTTCAAACTACTGGGCGTGCTCACGCCCAGCTCAATGGGAACTGAGGACACTTCGTGACTTCAGAGACTCAGCCTCCGAACAGCATTAAGCCTTATCTCCTCTGCTAAAAGAGGTGTGCTCAGAATAACTAACATGCCTTGTCTATCCTTGGGGAAAAAAAGACTGGGAGGAAAAGGCAAGTTGGTTTTACCAAGAGGTAAAAGTGGCGAGGTCAGCTCCAGGCAGGGCTACAGTGCTGATCTTGCTGAAGTTACTTTGCAGTAAAACTTAAGTGCCTTTTTTTGACTGTGTTTTTACCTCTGGAGCGGTCAGGCAAGGTCCAAAACCATGCCCCCCATCAGCCATGAAGACAAAGCCTTTCTCCTAATCTCTGCAGACCCACAAGCTCTCCCGAGGCCAGGAGGGGTGGGATCCATACCTGCAGTGTGCAGAGGCGTCCTTTTTATTTTGCTCTCCGTGTCCCAGCTGCTCGGTGCCACAGCGAGCAAGTACCGGATGACCTGGGGATGGCCCTCTCGACTGGCGATGTGGAAGCAATTCCAGCCGTCTTTGTTCTTCAGCAGCGGGTTAGCCCCGTGCTCAATGAGATCTTTGATGACATCCAGGTTGCTCCTGGTGCAGGCCATCATCAGAGGTGTCCTGGAAAAGGGAAGGGAGGATAAATACAATGCAACCTTGCTGTAACACCAGCTGCTCCTTTAAGTCCAGGCTAATGAATTTGAAGCATGATATAAGGTTCAGTGTGGCCAAGCAGGGGTCTAGTTGGTCAGCCTGGGTGTAATGTGAATGCAATCCCGTTTGCCCTCTTGTGGCAGGCCAGACAGGATAGGTGACCTCCCCAAGCTCAGGGAAAACTTGATTAGGTCAGCTCACAGAGCCTCCTTTTAGGAGCAAAAGCCCTAGTCTTTACCCCAGCGCTGCACCTGGATGCTTCAGCTGATGACCAGCCTCTTTGTCCCCCTGCCACAAACCCGTTCACGGCAAGTCCTAGAGCATCATTTTATCCACGGCAAGCCTGGAGACTGAACTAGCTGAGCCTAACAAGGCTGAAACTCGCCATTACAACAGAGCACTTGGGGCGCTTGTACACGGTGCGCTGGCGTCAACGCCGAAGTGCTGACCCTGGAAATTGGTCTCTCCGCATCCAAGCAGCCCGACAGGCCATCACAAAGCATGCTTGCTTTCCACTCTAGGAGAGGGAGCATGCATTCAAGGCCTCGTCGTCTTTGACGTGCCGGGGTCACATCGGCGCTTGCCTTCCCCGCAGTCTCACTCCCGTCCTCAGAGGTGACAACTGGAACTGCAGATAACGAACTGCGAGTCAGACAATCCCATTTTCCCAAGCCACGTGAGCCAGCGTAGCCGGCTCTTAAACGCCACCTTCATTTCCTAGGCAACACATCGGCACGATGCTCCCTGCATTTATTCAATCGCTGCCATTCCCCGTGCTCGAGTGAGGTGCCAATGCTACAGGACTCTCGCACGCCCTGGGACCCCATCCTCCCATTTTCAGCCTCACAATGCATTTCTTAAAGCATTTCGAGTGTCCTCCAAGCAGAGCAGAAGACACTATCTGTATTATTTACAGCCTCTGCTGCAGAAAGGTGTCCCTAGCTGGACTGCAACACCAGCAGAGAAGCCAACCCAACCCTCCCATCAGCATATTTAGCTCAGCGATGGGCTAATTTCATGCTGGGGGGGAACCTCATATGAGCAGGACAAAGACTTAATAAGCCTCAGGAAACCTCCAGAAAGCCCCAAGCCCTACCCATAAGCATGCAATTCTCTCCTGCTCTTGGGAGAGCTCCTGAAATAAATCTATAATAGATACCCCCAAGGCTGCGTCCCTCCCGCTGGGAAGACCAGAGGGTGTCCTGGAAAGACTGTTTCCATAACCAGTCCCTTACTTGGGAAACGGGAGTGGAAGACTACAATTGCTGCCATACACACATCCTTCATCCCACCCGTCTGCCGGTTTAAATGGACCACACCGTGACCTCGACTTGATGGACAGCGGTCATTTTAGAGGCAATACAGGCTGGACGGATATCGTTTTTTAAACGATGAACTCATCCAAAAATATCATAAGGGAGCAAACCCTTAAAGTAGTATCAGGAGAGGTCTCTGGCTGCTCCATGTGACAAGCATAAAGCTAGTGTTTATTAAAAAAAATTAAATTGAGTTAGGGCTAGGGGAAAAAAAAATAAGCCCTCATCTGTCCCGTCTCCCCAGCAATAATGGATTATCCCCAGTTAGGCATATTTCAGAGGTTTGGCATTTTAAGCGTCCTGAGCAAGAAGGCCTCTCCTATTTTCACACGCTGACACATTCATCTCTCCTCTCGGGCTTTTAAATGAGGCAAGGGAGATGTGCGGTGGGAAGCAGACATGAAGTATCATGTGAAAGTAGGGCTCGAAGGACCTCCGGGGAGCATCACGTCCAGCAGTTCTCACCCTTTTTAGACTCGAGGCACCCCTCATTAGCCGCAAGGCCCCCCTTGGAAAATGCCAGCTATGGTTTTCACTCATTTTTGACTCCAGAAAAAAATAACAGAGCAATTCTTCTGGGACAGAGAGTTCGGAAAGATCGCACAATAAGTAAGAAAGCTTTTAACACTAAGAATCCCTATTTGAAATCTCAGTTCACGTTTGCACGCCTAGCAAAGCTGACACTGCGCGATACCCTTGAAAGGGGTGAGAACTTAAACGCTGATCTAACCCAACCTCCTGCTCCAGGGAGGATTGCCCCAGACTAAAATTGCATTTCCACGACTTGATTCCTTCTTATTTAGTACCCCCGCCCTCTGCGAGTCGATTCGTAGCATCTGCCGGAGTAGACTAACCTGCAAAAGCTCATGCCTCTCTGAATACGTTGGCTCAAAAAGGTACCCCCTTGCCCTGCCTTAAACAATCCTAGTCGTATATTTGTCTTAATTCTTAAAATACTTCAGGAACAACTCCCATGGACATCTACCAGGCATCATGCCCTAAACATCAAAAAAAGCCCCTATAGCATGCCAAGGGATGAAGGCCGTGCCAATGTCCTACTGCTGCAGGGGCAAAAAGTCATTTGTTAAAATATACTCAAGAGATCCAGTTGGGAAGGCTGATTCTTGTGTTTTCCCCCCTGGCTGGTGTCACGAATGGCACGTGGACAGCACGCACCCCCCAGTTTGGGAATCAAGCGAACTCCACAAACAAAGTGAAATGAAGAATCAGTCTTGCTCTGACTTTGCGTGCCACCTGCTAAACCCCACCTGAAATCACGTATGTGCACACTTGACTTCATGCCTGTGCAGAATGTCATTGAACTCGACAACGCCAGGCCCCTACGTTTCTCCGTCTCAGTGGAGGCCAGGCTTTTTGGTGGGAGTGCCACAGATTAAGCCCCTGACCTCCCCGAATACTGTACCTCTCCCACCCTCTTCCCCTCTTCAATCAGCTGCTCCGATTTCTGCTCCCGGCCCTGTGTTTCCAAGCTTGACCTGCTGCTCTGCTTTCTCCTCCATGCCCTGTGTTCTGCCTTCTGCTCCTTGCCCGTGCTCTCGTGTCTGATCTGCTGCTCTGCTTTCTGCTCCTGGCCATGTGCTCCACCACTCCCCGATCCGTGCTCCTATGCCTGATCTGCTTTCTCCTCCATGCCCAGTACTCCAACGCCTGGTTTGCTGGTCTGCCTTCTGCTCCTTGCCCGGTGTTCTCGTAGCTGATCCACTGGTCAGCTTTCTGCTCCTGGCCATGTGCTCCCATGCCCGATCCCCCATTCTGCTTTCTGCTCCCTACCCAGCCTGCTGCTCGGCTTTCTGCTCCATCCGCCACTGTTCTGCCTGCCCCTTCCCTGATCTGCCACATATCACACACGTATCGCACACATTTGTGGCACACGTGCCGCAGGTTGGCTACCTCTGCTGTCTCTCATCCCTGCATTGGGCAACTCATCTGTTATTGCCAACAATTCAAGAGTCTCACAGCTATCAAAGACCAGGCCAGGCTTTTTGATATTCACGTGAATAATTCTGTGGCAGAGTTAGTATAAAAATCCACAGATGTATTCAGGTACCCACGTCCTGTTGATACCAATACCTTTGTCGTCCCAGCTGTTCTCTGCTCTAACCCACGCGTGTTATATATAAAAACTGAAACCGGTGCATTGACTCTTCCTTTGGACAAGCAAGTAAAGACCATTGGTCTTGGAGACTTTGTGGACAAAAGGTGATATGGGAATATAAAGCAGACAGCAACCTATTCGCATCGAGCAATGCCACATGCTGCGCCTCCGTCTCCCCTGCTTCCCTTTATGTCGGTGTCAAGCATCACTAAACCGCCTTCTGATTTGTAATGGTAAGGATTTGGCCAATCATTCCTATTCATGGTTTTATTTCAGCATTAACTCTCCAGTAATAATTTTTGGCTGCTTCCTGGGATGCAAATCCATTCCCTGCGCCACATCGATGAATAATGCTTAGTCCCCTTCCAACAGATCAGTCCAATGCTTAGTCCCCCTTCACATGGGAATTTGCACCAGAAGAGAGTATGCATTTTCTAGCTATTGCTAATGAAGGCCCATTTTAGGTCTATGATGGAGGCATTTCTGTCTAATTTACTCATCGGTATCTGCACACCCGGGGAAAACCAAGGTGTGACGAGTTGAGAGACTGAAGCCTTTCTGCATGTGAGAGGGAGATCTGGGATAAGACCAGGACTAGCTTAGGATGCCTGTCGTTGCACGCCAGCCACTCCGCATCAGTCCCTGTCAACCAGTACAACCAAATGAGCCCGTGACCTACCAGTCTGCCTTTTTCAAGCAGTCTACCTTGGCCCCTTTAGCCAGCAGGTACAGCACACAGTCCCTGTGGCCCATAGAAGCGGCTTCGTGCAGGGGCCGCTTGTAGTCATTATTGCACATCTCAATGTCCATCTCCAAGGTGTCCACTAAGTGGGTCAGCATGTCCAGGTGACCGTGCCTGGCTGTGTAATGCAGCAGCGTGTCCCCGGATTTCCCAAAGTGTTTCCGCCTCACTGCCTGGACCAGATCCTCATCCCTCTGCAGCTCTCCTTTGAAAAGGTCGACCCGTCCTTCTTGGATCAACCTGAGCAGCTGTCTCTGGGTTTCCCCCTCTGCCATAGTGCAGGGGGCGGCTTCTAGGAAAACAGAAAGGAAAAGAGGTAAAATTAAATTTACAAAAAAGATTGCAATATGCAGTATTCCTAAACTGTTCAAATGCGACTTGGAAAGTAACGCAACACAACGAGGGGGTCTCTTCAAATGAGTCAGGCATCCGCCAGCCGACTTCACGGGGCTAAAACATCCACGGGAAACCAGCGAGGGAGGGGAGGGGAGGCTCCAAAATAGGCACGGGACCTGAAATGGATGAGAGCAACTAGATGTTAGCTAGAAAAGCAACTTTAAAATACCCACTGCCCCCTGTACCAGCGCTTGGCATGCACGGACTTAAGTCAGCAGGACTTGCAGCTCATGCAGAGCCAGCCAGTGGTTCCTAGACACCAGGCATGGATAAAACAGCCCCAAATGAAAAAGCAGATTGCGAGATTCGCTCCAGGAGCTGGAAATCCCCGAGCTCCTTGCATTCCTCACATTGCGAGGATTAGAGACCCATGCAAACACCCCCCTGCGGCTGCTGCAGGGCTGTGCTGTGCCAAACTGCCTTCCCCCAGGCTCCAGCTGGGGGTTTTTTTGGACGAATAGCACTTGCCCTGCTCCCTGGCAGCGCGAGCAGCCTCCGTCTGCGTCCTGCAGAGAGAAAAGCGCGCAGGGCGAGCTGTGCGTCCAGGTGGAGCATTGCAGGAGGGGACCCGCTGCCTCCAAGAGCAGCACTCCCCCATTACAGGTAGGATCCCTGCTTTGATTGGCCTGGGATTCAGGACACCTGGGTCCTATTCTGAGCTCGGCTTCTGAGAGGATGGTGGGCAAGCAGCTTCCCTTCCCCGTGCCTCGGTTTTCCCATCTGCAAAATGGGGACAATGCCATTGCTTTGTATTTATTTATTTTTTGGTAAAGCGTTCTCAGATCTGCTGAAGAAACACAATATAAAGCTGCTGCCATTTGCACCCGTTGAACTGAGGAGCATAGGACTGGGAAGGGACCACCTTGGTCAACAGAATCCAGTTTCTTTCTACCACATTATACACACATGGATACACATTCAAATTAAAGTTGGATAGGAACCAGCGATGGAGCGGTTACACATTTTCAAGCACTAACTTTGTAGCTGGTTGGCTCTTTTTATAGCTTGAGAGGCATTTTTATGGTGTGATAAGCACTCTGGTCGAAATGTATTGCGCGATTAACCAGTTAATTGTGTGTAATGTGTAGCAGGGGCTTCCCATTAGGAAACTGCCAAGCCGCAGTTTAACGCCTGGTGAGGTTGTGCCCTCAGGACTGAGGTCACTGCTGTGATGTCACCATGCAGCGATGTGACATCATGCTTCCGCGTGACACCATCGCACCTCCCCGTGATGTCACATCTTTATCTTGGGTTGCCATTACATCACTGCATGGCTGAATTAGGTCCACGCTGCGATGTCACCATGCAGCAACGTGACATCATGCTTCTGTGCGACACCATCGCACTTTCCCACGATGTCACATCGTTATCTTTGGCCATTACGTCACTGCATGGCTGAATTAGGTCACCTCCACAATGTCACTATGCAGCGATGTGACATCACACTTCTGCGTGACACCATCGCACCCCCTCCCATGACGTCACATCTTTTCTTGGGTTGCCATTACATCACTGCATGGCTGAATTAGGTCACCTCAACGATGTCACCATGCAGCGATGTGACATCACTCTTCCGCGTGACACCATCGCACTTTCCCATGATGCCACATCTTTATCTTTGACCATTACATCACTGCATGGCCGAATTAGGTCACCGCCCCGATGTCACCATGCAGCAATGTGACATCACGCTTCCGCGTGACACCATCGCACCTCCCCATGACGTCACCTCTTTATCTTTGGGTTGCCATGAGGTCACCGCCGCAACGTCACCATGCACCAATGCGACATCACGCTTCTGTGTGACATCATCACACCTCCCCATGATGTCACCCCCCCCCAACCCAACCCAGTGGCATTTTACAGGCCAGGGCCCAGCAGTGCCAGGCTTTCCACAACACAGGTCTCCATGGGCCTGTGAAGGGTTAACAGGGAAAGGGGAGGGGGGGGGGCGTAAATAAACTCCGGGCAAATTTTCACTCGGCCCGTCTCCTAAACTGAACCAGGAAGTGACAATGTCACCAACGATTGGCTGCCGGAGGGGTCACTCAGGGGCGGGACTCCGGGGGCACCAGCGGGGTAGGTTGTGACGAGGAAGCAGCAGCAGCAGCAGCAGGAGGAGGAGGCGTTTGGTTGCGCGCGCAAGGGAAGGAGCCTGCAGAGCTGCGTTAGGAGTGAGCCTGGGGGGCAGGGGCATTGCACCCCCTGGCAGCTCAAGGGGCGCCCTGGGCTGTGCATGCCCTGGGGGGGTGGGGGGGTTGTGCATGAAGCATGGGAGCACTGCCTCCTCTTTCTGCTGCTCCTTCCCCTTCCCCCGCTGGCACCCCCCCAGGGTGGGGTGCCTGCAGCCCAGGGGCTGGGGGTGCAGAGGTGCCCTGCTCCGCAAGCCATGGCGGAGGTGCGCATGTGCACAGAGGGGTTATCAGGGAGCCGTGCATCCGGGTGACTTGTCTGTGTTCCTGCAGGGTCCCCAAGTGTCCGCCTGGCTTCCCGGGGTCGCTCCCCCATCGCTCCAGCTGCAGCGCCCTGCAGGCGCTGTGGGCTCCCCGCTCTGCCAGCTCCCAGGCGTTGGCAGACGCCGTCCTCTGCTGCTGTTGCACGCCGGCCAGAAGGAGACCTCTGCCACCGGTGTGGGTTTTGGGTGCGGATGCACGCGGGGGGGGGTTGCCGGGAGACCTGGGGGTGTTGCACGGTGGTGTAGACGGGGCCTAAGAGCACGGAGCTGCGCGTGCGAGCATGCGCCCCCCGCCGTTGCTTCCAAGTACGGGGGTCTGTGCTCGCCCGGAAATGCTGCGCACCCTTGGGGACCCCAGAGAGGTTGGGGCGGCTGGTGCTGACATCGAAATGCTGCGCACCCTTGGGTACCCCAAAGAGGTTGGGGTCACTGGTGCTTGCCTGGAAATGCTGCGCACTCCTGGGGACCCCAAAGAGGTTGGGGTGGCTGGTGCTCACGTGGAAATGCTGGGCCCTTGGGTACCCCAAAGAGGTTCGGGTGGCTGGTGCTCACGTGGAAATGCTGGGCCCTTGGGTACCCCAAAGAGGTTCGGGTGGCTGGTGCTCACGTGGAAATGCTGGGCCCTTGGGTACCCCAAAGAGGTTCGGGTGGCTGGTGCTCACGTGGAAATGCTGGGCCCTTGGGTACCCCAAAGAGGTTCGGGTGGCTGGTGCTCACGTGGAAATGCTGGGCCCTTGGGTACCCCAAAGAGGTTCGGGTGGCTGGTGCTCACGTGGAAATGCTGGGCCCTTGGGTACCCCAAAGAGGTTCGGGTGGCTGGTGCTCACGTGGAAATGCTGGGCCCTTGGGTACCCCAAAGAGGTTCGGGTGGCTGGTGCTCACGTGGAAATGCTGGGCCCTTGGGTACCCCAAAGAGGTTCGGGTGGCTGGTGCTCACGTGGAAATGCTGGGCCCTTGGGTACCCCAAAGAGGTTCGGGTGGCTGGTGCTCACGTGGAAATGCTGGGCCCTTGGGTACCCCAAAGAGGTTCGGGTGGCTGGTGCTCACGTGGAAATGCTGGGCCCTTGGGTACCCCAAAGAGGTTCGGGTGGCTGGTGCTCACGTGGAAATGCTGGGCCCTTGGGTACCCCAAAGAGGTTCGGGTGGCTGGTGCTCACGTGGAAATGCTGGGCCCTTGGGTACCCCAAAGAGGTTCGGGTGGCTGGTGCTCACGTGGAAATGCTGGGCCCTTGGGTACCCCAAAGAGGTTCGGGTGGCTGGTGCTCACGTGGAAATGCTGGGCCCTTGGGTACCCCAAAGAGGTTCGGGTGGCTGGTGCTCACGTGGAAATGCTGGGCCCTTGGGTACCCCAAAGAGGTTCGGGTGGCTGGTGCTCACGTGGAAATGCTGGGCCCTTGGGTACCCCAAAGAGGTTCGGGTGGCTGGTGCTCACGTGGAAATGCTGGGCCCTTGGGTACCCCAAAGAGGTTCGGGTGGCTGGTGCTCACGTGGAAATGCTGGGCCCTTGGGTACCCCAAAGAGGTTCGGGTGGCTGGTGCTCACGTGGAAATGCTGGGCCCTTGGGTACCCCAAAGAGGTTCGGGTGGCTGGTGCTCACGTGGAAATGCTGGGCCCTTGGGTACCCCAAAGAGGTTCGGGTGGCTGGTGCTCACGTGGAAATGCTGGGCCCTTGGGTACCCCAAAGAGGTTGGGGTGGCTGGTGCTCACCCAGAAATGCTGCGCACCCTTGGGTACTGTGCTCTCCGCTCTCGGGGCTTAGAAACAGCAACTAAACTTTGGCCTCCGCACCTTCAAGCTGTGCCGTTGCTTTTGTTGTTGCTCCCACTAACGGGCAATTAGAGAGGGAGAAGGTTAGCGTAGCAAGATGCTGTTTTCTACCCATTGGGAAGACTCCAGATTTTTTGCATCTTCTTTGATCCTGTAGCGGGACGACAGCATCTGGTCTGCAAGGGGAGGTGACGCCCCAACGCTTGGGCTCTGCCCCTGGCGCTTGGGCCGCTCAATCCTGCAGTGGGCAACCTGGGTTAGACTGGAGCTGGGCCATGGAGGCCAGTGTCCCGGCAATGGAAATTGAGTTTGGAGGCTAGGAGGAGTTTACTGGTGATGAGCGTGGTCACCAGCATGGACCGGGAGGAGCAGTGGGATCTCCGTCCCTGGAAATCCTCAAGAGCAGGGTGCCCAGACACGTGGCTCTCCGGCTGTAAGCTGGACTAGACAGCCTCATGCGGTGCCTTCCCTTCCAGCCTTGCTTTCCTATGATGTCTAACCATGATCAGCACCAGCTACTTTAGGGAGCAATGTTTATAGGGGACAGCTGGGAACTGGATTAAGATTTTGAACCGTTCATTAAAAAAAAAATGCAGAGACTTGAATTAAAAAGAAAAAAAATGTATTTCTATTAACAAAGCATTGGTTTTCTTCCATTTGAATTCTTTGTAGCCTCTCTCTTTAAGGGAAAAATGCAATTTTTAATGGAGCAGGGGGATAATAATTAAAAAGCATCAGGTTTTTCAAACGGAGTCATTTCTTCCCACCCTTTTTAGACATGGGATGTTTTTGAATCTCTTCTAAGGCAGGGAAGGGGTGCCGTGCAAGACGTCAGAAATCCCAGGGGCTTTGCTGCAGGGTTTAATGGCATGCAATGGGTTCGGGATGGGAGGAAGAAATGTCAGGAAATGCCTGACCTTTTGATCCTGCTGTAAAGCAGCAGGAAGGTACTGGGTTGCTGGATACCGTGGGGACGGTCATGGCATATGGGGTCTCGTTCCCTGCAGAAGAACAAACTGCAGCCAGTCGGACAATGTCTTCGATGCTTATCTTGCAAAAGGAAACCAGGAATCGGCATGCGCGCACCCTCGTTTTTAAATCAGACTTTTCTGGGAGGAAGTTAGACCATCTATTTCCTTCGTAGCCCTAGTTAGCAAACAGGTGGGGTTTGGTGGGGTTTTTATTGTGACTTTCCCCATTGAAGTGTAGCCTTTGCATACCTCATGCGGATACTCACGGCAAGATCTTTATTGCAGATCAATCTGAGAAATGGGCTCAGTTGCAACAAATTTGTCGGGTGTAGTGTTGGCAGGACTTTTTAACGGCGGATGGTAATCGCCTTCGTGTCTTGGACCCCTCCAAAATTGTAGCCTGTTTGTGGAACAGGCTTCAGCTCCGCCTGCTTTACAACATGAGTATTTATTGTCACGCGATCTCCTGACGTAGTTGCAGGGGGTTGGACTAGATGTCTCAAAGTCCCCGTAGGACGTGGGGTCCCGAGGTCCCTCCCCACCCTCATGTTTTTAATGATTCTATAATTGTCTGATTTGAAATGTTAAATTCCCACGCGCCTAAGTTTCGCAACTCGCCTTCCTTTTCTGAGCCTCGGTTTTTCCACCTACAAAATGGGTCTAATGCTGTTTATCTCCCGGGAAGGCTGGCGTGTTTGTGTCATCTTTGCAAAGTGCTTTGAGATCCCAAGGAGAAGGTATCTATTCCACATAGTGACGCTTCTGGAAAGCAGCACGTAAAATGAAAACCGGCCACTTCGGGAATCGGACAGACACGTGTCATTTTTTTTAAATATCAGACACCCATTATTTTTAACTGGATACTCTCCAACTTCTTTTAAAGCAATCTTTCTTATAGAGTCTGTGGGAATGCAAAGTATCGTGGCTATTCATTTCTTGTTAGCAAAATGGGCAAGACGATAGCACAGGATACGGGGCTTAGCCTGATATCCTGCCCGGTGATGGATGAGCTAGAAATCAAGCGTGAAGTTAGTGAACAACCATGCCAGGCGCTGCCACTGTGGTGCGGCGCTCTGAAATACGCCTTCCGAAGTTTTGAATCGACTTCTCCCGAGGCCAGCAACGCTTTAAAGCTTGGCAATACCTCTTAGGGCAGGGGAAAAGGTATACATGACCTGGGTCTCTTCCAGCCCTGATTTTCTTAAGGGGAGGGAATGGGCTAAAGTGTTGTGAGGGTCTGGAAATAAACTTCAGCTTGTGCACCAGAGACTGTCATTTAAAACTGAACGTTAATGAACTAAGCAAGCAGGTAATTAATTAAGGGTTGAAATGAAACCTCGATGAAATTTAACAGGCGTTCTGTTTTCTTTTCATGTTGGCGGCAGTGAGACGGTTTAAGAAAGTGCATCTCACGGCCAGCGACTGCGAAGCCTTCAGCCACAGCAGAGAGGGCTCGTCCTCCCTGACGCAGCCGGTCGGGCAAGCACGGACCGGCAGAGACTTCAACAGGGGTCTCTACCCGACATACTGGACCAGGAGACAGCAAGAAGGTACGGTGTTGCCAAGAAGAGAGAGACGGGAAGGGTTTGAGAGCTCGTATTATAAGCGCTGCCAGCTAGAAGCAGATAGCAGTTGTCTGATGCCTGCTGCCGTGAGTAGCTCCTAAGGGAACAGGGATGCAGGCGCTCATCTGCATCGTGATCACCCCCGGCTTGAACCACAGCCAGGGGAGGTTTGAGCACCTGTACTCAAGGCCAGATCAAACTCCTTCCAAAGTTGGGTGCAGTCCTTGTCTCGACCAGCTTCCACGTCCCCTGGCTTTTCTCTCGCTTTCAGAAGTGGAGCTGCACTTTCCAACAGCGTTAGGCGAACCTGCCTCTCCGTGCGGGATGCTGCTGCGTTGGGCTGTACCGAAAGCACGACAGATGACCGTTCTAGAGACTCTCAGGGATGGTCATCATTTAATACGCTCATCTGTTCAGCAAGGAAGTTGTTACTTGCATAAAAGGCTGACAGGGAAGGGATCTCCTGTACCCATTTTACAGATGGGGGAGACCATTTTCAGAAGTACCTTTGAGTCCTGGGCTTCTAAGTGCCTTCAGAAGTCAGTTTAACTTAAGGTTGGAAAGCTAACGCGCCTGCTTTGCCCGAGGCTGCTGGGCTTGACTGCTGCCACTGCCACCGCTGGTCGTGCAGATCTGGCCTGCGATGAGCCGTGCGGTCCGGATCCAACCCAGGGCGAGTTTCACACCCCTGATTTAAATGTTTTTGAAAAGCTCGTCTACGGAAACTGCAGTGAACCAATTTGTTCAGGTTCACGGGAGGGAGGGGAAATCTGTTTCAGCGACGGGGCTAGAAGCCAAAGATCGTGATTCTGTTCTGAGCCGTGGACCTTGCCTCGGGTCCATCACCTAAAACGTCTGGACTTGGTCGAAGCAGACAAGGTTCCTTGGGTGAATTTGATATCTTTTATTAGACCAAGATATCAAATTCACGCAAGGAACCTTGTCTGCCTATGTCCTTAGACCAACACGGCTACAACCTAAACCCCTGGACTCGGTCTAGGTATCTTTGGCTAGGTTGCTTTTTAACACCTAGTGATTGCCTACACAACACAGCTCTTGGAGGGACCTTGTTTTTCAGATGGTAGGTATTCAGCATGGTCTGAAAATCAGGCCTCTGTAATCTGCTCAGCCAAAAGCTGCTGCCAAGTCGGCAGTGGCTGAGATAAGGTTAAAGCTTGAACTTTGGCACAGTGAGCAGGCGGATGACACATGCATTCAGCTGCGGTGAGCTCGTGTTCCTAGTTTTATAGATGTCAGGGGCTGGAAGGGACCCTACAGATCATCGGGTCCAGCCCCCTTGCACTTGGGCAGGAAAGACCGCTGGGATCGGACGACCCAGCAAGATGGACATCTAGATGCTTTTTGAAGATTGCCAGGGTGGACGTGTTGTAGCAGTGAAGGCTGTGTAAAACAATTTTTTTTCTTTGCAGTGCGAGGTGCATGTTTTATTTGGGGGCATTTGTCTTAAGTACTTGAGGCCTCTTTAGGGCTTGGGATTGTGATTTTTATACAGTACGGGAGAAGCCAGTTGCAATGAGCAGAGCGCCGCTCTGGCCTCAAAGGCTGACCACGGGGATTTTAGTCACCTTCACATCTTTTGCTTTCCTCCTCCTATCGCTGCATTGATCCAGTCGGTTGAAATAATTCACGGGAAGTAGAATTGGCCGCCTGGTTTCCACGTCGGTGCTGTGTTATGTTATTTAAGCACCCTTTCTATGCACCCGGTTGTAATGCGGAGCGTGCTTTTCTCCATCTCGCTCATTTAGCGGCTCTCAGGGGTGTTCAGGCGTCGGGCAGCCTTGTGCTAACCTGTGATATCTATGTCTTTTCCTTTGTTCTGCCTTGTAGGGAAGGGCCATCAGAAGAGCATCACTTCTTATTTCAAAACCAAGCAGCACGCGGGTGATAGAGAGGCAGAAAGCTGTGAAAACCAAGAGCCAGAGGCAAAAAGCCACAAGGTCAAAGAAGAGCTGGAAGACCCCTTCTTCAGCGATGAGGAGTTGTTGTCCAGCCTGGAGGAACCTTCTTTCCTGGCTGGAGAGGCTGAAAGTGCCGAAGCAGCTGTCTCCAGGAAGCGGCCTCTCCTTCCCGATGCATCTGGCAGCTGCGATGCAGGCTACGGCAAGTGGGGTAAACCTGACGAAGCCCTCAGGACTGACATTTTCCTTTCAGAGCCTCCCGGACAGACTGAAAGCCGACGGGAGATCAAACAGGAGCTCGATATCGACCCGCTTCCTGATCCCTGCTTCGGGCTCTTGGGGACGTCAAGCGGGACGGAGCCCCAGGGTCACATTGACCAGCTGCCAGATGAGGTCCTGAGCCATATCTTTGCTTGCCTCCCTGTGAGTGATCTCTACCAAAGCCTGAGCCTCGTGTGTCACCGCTGGAAACGCATCATCAGGGATCCCCTGGTGAGAGGCATCCTTCTGTTGATGGGGTTTCCTTGGGTTAAGGGTGGCTCAGGAAGCCCCTTGCAGTCGTGCGTTCAGGGGTCAGTCCTTCTGTTTCACTGGTCCAGGTGCCACCCCTCGTCCTAGCTGCTGTGCCTCTCTTGGGGTACGTTCTCCCTGTTCGTGCTAGCCAAGCTCTGTCTCTGGCCCCTCTGTTTAAATCCACCTGTCTCCTCTGCTGTCCCCGCAGCCTCCCTTGCTTCAGCTCTTGTCCAAAGCCACATCTGCAGACCGCTGAGGGTTTGCTGGGTGGCTTGGAATATCCTCAGTCCCCACTTCCCTGCCTCTTCTCAGCAAATCACATCAGCTTTTATCGTGCACGGGTTCAACAGCTCTGCACCCTTTGGCAGGGAGCTTCTCCTGTGCACAATGTCGCCGAGCCGCCGTGCTGCCTTCCTTCAAACTGTCCCCTGCCGGGCTGGAAAATTCAACCTTTGCAAAACACTGAGGGGTCAGGTCCTGCTCCATCTGCTGGAGCCCCAGAAAAATGGGTGGTTTCTTCTCCCTGCTGCTTACAGCTGGGATGAAGGCATGTTACACAAGCAGACGTGTTCCCGGTTCACGGGGACAGGAGTAGGCTGGAATAGGATCTCACTGAAAGACTTGGATGTCTGCTAGGTGGAACAAACACTGGCCTGTGGTGTCCTGCGACCATCACCGATCGCATTGTGCACTACTGCCTCACTGTCACAGCGTCTCCTTCCCCTCCTGTTGCCTCTTGTTAAGCTGTCGGCTTTTGTGGGATGGGGCAATTTTTCATTCTCTGTTTGCAGCCCCTGGCACAATAGTTCCCAGGTCTATAGCTAGGACTGCAACAACTGCCAGGCAAAATAACCCCGTACGCACCGGCTGGTGAGTCTGAAGACGATCAGAGAGATGTCCTTTTCACTTACTGCCAAAAACAGTCCCCAAGCGGTAGCCCTGGTGGAGGTGCTAGCATGGACAGGTCCCAGGGATCCACAGGAGTCTTCAGTCCTGTATTGTCTAAGCCTGCTCCAAGTAGGTATGTGCAAAAAGACATTTGAAATGCCAGGAGCTGTGGGTAGCGGACGCTAGTGCTTTTCCCCTCCGGATCCAAGCCAGTGGTCGTAAGAGCAAGAAGCTCTAGAGAAAGAAGCCTGTCATGCACTTTTAGGTGGCATGAATCTCCACCTTCCCCTCTCTTTCAGGGCCCATCTTGATGTGGCCGTTTCCGTCCATCGAGCTGATGGGCTTTGCCAAACTGGAATCAAATGCCGCCTCCGGGAGAGAGGCTGCCATGTAGCGATGGTCAGGAGAAGCCTGTGCTTCAAGCATGTCGTGGTGACGGTGTATTGCTTCTCGTTGCAGTTCATCCCATGGAAGAAGCTGTACTACCAGTACCTGCTGAAGGAGAACCCCACTCTGATCACCGTGGGAGTGATTTTGGACCGTTACGGTATAACAAAAGAGCAGGATCAGTGTATGCTGGGGCTTATAAGGTGAGTTGGTTTTACCAGGGGGGTCATAGCTGTTTGTCCACAAGCATGGGGCAAGCAGTCCAGCAGCTTGCTTGGCTCTGTTTTCAGTCCACGGCTCTAAGGCAGCATTTCTCAAACAGGGGAGGGAAGACAAGTTGCCTTTGTGTGATGTGAAAGGGACAGGTGGCAGAGAGATGCAGACAAAGGGGTGACGCGGCCAGAGCAACAGGGCAGGAGAACGATCTGGATGGATGCTAGCAGGACAGGACTGCCTGCTAAAGCTTGACGGGAGAATATTGCACTACAACTTCCATTAGCTTTAAACCATGAAACACCACCTAAAATGTGAGGATTTTGCAACGCTGCTGTGAGCCAGTGACCAGCGAGGGAGCTGAAAGAGACCCCCAAGCAGCTCAGTACTGACACTGTCTTCGAGGACCTGCTAAGGCCCCGTGCTCCGGTCAGGTTTCTCTAGCAATCACACCAGACACAGAAGCTGCTTTGTCTGGTTGGGTTTTTTCCTCTTCTTTTTTGTCCCTTTTCCCTTATGCATCTTATTTAATCTTAAAGGAAGCAAGACCAGAGTTGCACAACCAGAGTGGTAACCACAGCTCCATTTAATCTCCTGTCACTTTTCCCCAACAAGGAAAGTTGTTATGCCATCAGCTGTACTAACCAGGGCTTTTCCCTCCTGTAAAACCTCTCTACAGCAGCAGCTCTTAACCTTTGCAGGCACAAGTCAGACCTGTACAATGGGAAAGTGAATAAGGGACATTGCTATGATGAATGTCACGCTTAATGCTTCCTGTTTCAAACACTTTAACTGCTTGGTATTTTTCTGAGTCTTTAACACAAGGCTTATAGGTTTTTTGGGGGTGGGCATTGTTGCCCTCAGGCTCAGCAGGGTGAGATGTTGCTACAGGAAACCCTACGTCACGTCTAATTATTTTATGTTGTGCAGCGACCCGGTCTGCATAGCACCTCGGGCACCATAGTTAGCACAGCAGAGATCTGGCAGGAGCAGCGTGGTGGCTCTGAGAGTCTTTGGTGCAGAGATAGATAGCAGCTGAGTCTGTGAAGGAGGTTCCCGGGAGATAAGATGCCGTGTGAGTTGAGACGTAGATGAGCGGCTCTCGCAGAAAGCGGGTGGGGGAGATCACCAGGAGTGCTTTGAGAGGTAGGAGGAGCACTAAGTCACGAAATGGGGACGAGATGTCCAGAAGCTGTCGTAGATGGTTGGAAGGCTGAGCTGAAGGGGAGGATGAAGTGCTGGCCAAGGGAAGGCCGCTAGCGATTGTGGTGAGCGGGATCTCACGAGAGCACACGAGGTGGAAGCCGGGTTGGAGAGGCTCTATGATAAAACGGGGAGCGATGAAAAATGGTGCGTCCCGTGATCTTCAGGCTCTGCGGAAGAAAAGAGGAGGTCCTGGGAGCGGAGAGGCTGGAGGCAAGGGTGGGCAGTTGAAGCTATGTACAATTTACTTTTTTTTACACTATACAGATCCAAAGTCCTCCTCTCTGATCAGCCCGTGCAGGGTTTCCCACGGGTTGTCCTCGCTAGCAGCGCTGATGGCTGTGGGGTTCTTAGCTCCCCGCCGCCACATCCATAATCTATGCATTAATCATTATTTGCAATCCCGGGATGCCCACAGGGTGCTGCACCCTGTTCACATGCAAGACGTGGCCCCCGCCATGAAGAGTTCACCATCCACGGGTCTGGTCCAGCAGAAGCCCGTGACTAGCTTGGCTTCCCGGGATCAAACCCACTCTGCATCCTCTGCATCCAGTGCAGCAAGACGGCGGAGTTAGCATCACTGAAGACGGTGGAAGTTATTGTCTGGGCACCTTAAGCACTACTGTCAGAGGGGCACTTTGCTGTGCGATGTCATCCGACTTTAATTAGGAGTTAGATCCCTACTCGGCATTGATAAAGGGCAGATCTGTTTGCTTTCTGCGCAGGTACGTGTCTACCTTAAGCAGCGACCGAAGAGTAGACTCCGATAAGGTTCTCCAGTGTTTGAAGAGCCACCGTCTCTTTACCAAGGCAGAAATCTGCATCGCCAACAAGCTGCCTGATTTAAAGAGCACAGCGGGGGTAGGTGGAGCACTCCTTGACTTTTGTCTTGTTCTGGTTCACGGGTCATGTTGGGGGAGCAGCAGGCATTGCAGATTTTCCCAAAGGAAAAGCATTTAGCAGAGGTAGGTTGTTAGCAGGGCGAGGAACAAGCAAGTGTTAAATACGCAGAGGACTGAACATAAATCATGGTAAAATGGGGCTGGAAAGGACCTCAGTAAGTCACCTCTCTTGCTCGAGGCAGGATCATCCCTGCCTAAACCAGCCCAGTCCACTTTTGGTCTAACATACCCGAGGAAATCTGCCCACAGGTCTATTAATAATTACAAAGATCTTTTCAAAAGGCTTCGTTTTGCTTTTTCTGTCCTGAGGGCTCGAACCGTGATGCCCTCTCAGTCTTTTCTCTTCCCTCTTCCTTTGGCCGTTACCATCTCCAGGCAGCGATGGCGTGGGCGGTGATAGCAACCATTGTGCTGTTCTCGGATGCGGTGCGTGACATCCAGAAGCTGATGGCCTGCCTGAGGAGACCCTGCTCTACCGTTTCGGTCGTGGAGGTCGCTGAGACCTTGTACTGTCTGGCCACCCTGCTGTACGCAATGAGGGAGAAGGACATTGATATCAGCAACAGGTGAGGAGAAAGAAGCTGTCACCATGAAAACAAATGTCCTGGTCCTGGGTTATGTATCAGGAGGCATGGGTTTGCTCAGCTTTCCGTGGGGCTGGAAGGGACCTCCATAAATCATAGTCTAACCCCTTGCCTGAGGCAGGATCATCCCTATCCAAATCATCCTATACAAATCCACAATCTAACCTCTTCCTCCAGGTTTCTCTTCTAGCAAAGAAAAATCAAGCTTCTACACTTAGGACATGCCCCATAAATTGGAGGTTGATTTTTTTGGGGGGTGGCAAGGGAAGGTGCATGTGGCACGTGAGTATATACGGTAGCTCACAGCAGCTGAGTGCCGTCTGTCAGCAGTTAGTTCAGCATTTTTATTCCCAAGTGCCGTTGTATTCCAAAAAGTAGCCATGGAAAACCAACATTTCCAGACCCGGCAGCTGTCTCCAACATGTATCGGGCATCTTATCTGCTTATCCCAGGTACGGTAGCAAGCCATTGTTTCCATTCCTTCTTGCAGAGGAGAATTTGCCCGGTGCTAAGGGGTGGGCAGCTCTGAGGGTAGTGCTGAGTTTAAATTGGCCATCCTCAGCTCACTCCGCAGCTTTGACCGCATCACTTTTCCTCTCGTCTACATGCTCTAATTCAGTCTGTAGCAGAGTTGTAAGGATTATTTAATGACTCAAGCAACTATACGCAGATCATTCAAGATACTGCATCTTATTTATTCTAAGTGGGCTGAGCTCCCTCTTGGCTCACACATCAGCAATAAGGTTGCTAACTAAGCTCCCACAGTCGAGCTGTTGGTGCTGGCAATGGAGAAAGAGAGAGAGCTGGACGCCGTTGTTGGATATGTGGTTATAACAAGAGATTTTATTTGCAAATGCAGCTCCAATGAGAAGCAGGAAACAAGGAGCCTCCCCAATTTGCATTTACAGTTGCTTTGTAAAAATATAATAGCACTTTAAATACTGAAGTTCTGCTCATTGAGCAATCGCTGCCTGTAACCAGCTGCGTTTGTCTTCATGTCCGATGAAAACCTTGAGCTCCGTCATATCCAGAGGGCTACCATCTGGGTATATTAGCAACAAAACATCTATCTCTATCCTTTCAGTTAAGATGGAAAGAGCCGTGGCTCTCTGTCGGCCTCAGCACCTCTGGCTCTTTTTTGTTAAGGGGCATTGTTATCTTTCCGTGACGCATTGGAAACAAGTTTGAAGTCGTCTGGTCTGGGTATAGAGCGCTGCGGGGGACAAGCTGGCTAGTCCTTTCTCCAGATATTACTTTATTGGCAGCACTGATTGCTTCTGGGACCTTTTTTGAGTGTAGAGGAGTAGCTCATGTTTAGATGAGTGTTGCTGAAGATCTGTTCGTATTCGATTTATTATCTTTTTTTTTATGCTTTCCTCTAGGCTCCATTACAATATATTCTATTACTTGTATCTGATGGAGAACTCTTGTTCTGCTGTTAAGACCGTAGAGCAGCCAGTGCCCAGTTCGCCATGCGTGAGAGACCTCTGGTCCAGGTAACACTCATGTATTGGTTGTGATAATAATAATTAGATGCATTTATAACCATCATCGGCCCACGTTCAAGAGTCAAGGAGACAAACCAGCCTTCAGACACTTACGTGTATGCTGTTCTTTTGCCTGCCTACATGCCAGCTGATCCTGTACGTGAACCCCAGTCATTAGCTAACCATTTGGAGGGGAAGAATGGTCCATAAGCTAGAGCCCAATTCAGTTCTTGGTCTGCCAGTAGCATCCCTTTTGACCCTGGGAAAATCCCATAGCAGTTCTGTGCCTCGGTTCCCCATCTGTGAAATGGGGCTAGTCATGCTTCCCTATATCTCAGGGTAGTTGTGGAGACAACTGCATTAGACGTTAGCAACATTTGGACACTGGTGACAAGCCATAAACAGATGTTTCCTCCTGCCTGGGTTCCATCTTTGATTTTTATTTCTCAGCCACGACTCCCATTTTTTTGCCTTGGAAATCTCCGTTAAGTAACGACTCTGTCACAGGGGCAGCTGGTAGGAATGGACGTGTTCTGCGCGTGGCGCTGTGTTCGATGAGGGTTTCAACGAAGCCAGAGGGAGCACACACAGTGATGCACCCCACCAAGGGCAGCCCTGTGGAAAGAAACGGCTTGCTCTGGAAAATTTACTTTCAATTACAAACATAATGCCATTGCCTGGCAAACTGAATTGCTTTTGCAAATGTTAATTAAACCTCACAGCTCCCTCGTGAGAAAAGGTTTAATTATCCTCCCGTTTGGAGTGGGAACGGAGGCACAGAGAGGTTGAGGGTCCTATTTTCAAAGCAGCCTGACTTTCCTGATCAAAGATAGCTATGGAGACAGAGTCCAGGTGATCTTCGAGGGGTCTGAGGCTCCCTGCAACTCAAGGTGTGTCTGTGCCATCTCTGTACCACGCTCAAAAGTGCTGTTGAGATGCACATGTCCCAGCTCACTGCTGCTTTACACGCGTGCAATACACCACCTCTGCTCAACCCTAGAGCTGGGCTGGAGCATGCGCTCAGGACCAGGGAAGTTATTATGGTGTTGCCTGCATTACTGCTGCAATGGATGCTGCCATCCCGCACTCTCCAGTCCACAGGCACGCTCCAGGGCTGGAAGTTTGCAAGGGAAACCATTCCAAAATGATCCCTGTGTGTTCATCTCAAACCCTCAGTCTCCAGCAGAGCGGACAGCAGAGCGGAGGGTGACACTAGAGCAGCCTCAGGGATGCATTTCTAGTGTGGGGTGTGTCTGCAGAAGCCACCCAGTGCCAGGACCTGCTGTGGCAGCGGTACAGACAAGCCCTGCATTGCCCCATCCTTGAGACTCGCCACAAGCAGAGCAGCCGCGAGCAGCAGTGACACAGAGGAGGCATCAGCCCAAGCCACTTCTGCAGGCAGGAGTTGGTGGCTGAGGGACATTAGAAGCTTTTTGAAAAGCTTGAACCTTGAGCAAGCCCCCACCCCTTTTCAGTCATCTCCAGCTGGATTGCTTTTCCCATCCTTATTATTTGCGATAGTTACTTGCATACTACATACGGCCAAATAAGACATGTTTGGGAAGGCAGAATGAAGGGCGGTGGTAGGGGGGAAACCTTTTCTGTGTAACCAGACTATTCACAATCCGTTTCCTTGTTTAAGACATGCACCCTGATTTTTTTTATCACTTCTTTTTGGGGAGGAAGGTGACTGGTATGTGATTAAATAAGGTAATTGCTCCAAAAACTGGGCTTTCACTCGGTCCAAACTGACGGCCTTGCTCCGTGTCTCGGCTGTCTTTGGGCTCATGTGGCCTCGCCCTCCATCTGTTCTTCCTCTCACCTCTCTCCGTTCCAGCTCTTCCAAAATGAGGGCTCTGCAGCTCTTTGATCACACCCCTCTTGCCTTTATTTTCCTATTTGTTTCTATTTTTATTGTGTCATTATGCAACAGAATCACATTTTTTTTTTTTTTCCAATCTTTATAACTTTGTTTTTCTTTTCAGGAGTAAACTTGATTTAAAATTAACCCATGAACAGCAAAGGATCCTGAACCATGAAATTGCACCAGGTCATATAGTCAAAATCATGGCATTTGCAGGTAAGAAACCTGACAGGGCTCCAAGGCACAGGGACATTTGGGCCAAAAAAAATAGCAAATTGGGCACTGACGTGAACTCCCATCCTGCTTCATTTTTCCTTTTCTGGAGCTGGGGGGGGTGATACTTGAGCACTAGGGCACTGGGCTTAATAGCGCAGGGGTGCTCTTCCCATTCTCCATTCTTACAAATGCAGCAAACACTGCATTATGTAGCACAAGGATTACCATATTTACTTGCACATCGCACAGCCCTGAATAAGATGCAGATCTTATTGTGGGGAGGGTATGGAAGGTCTTACCTGTCCCTCGGGGGCTGGAGGCTCTGGCCATGCAACATGGGGACAGGGTCATCTTAGCAGCCTCACTCTCCCTCCTCTATGGAAGATGCTGCTGCTGCAACAGCTACAGGTGTAACTTTTCCACAGCCTAATTGTATGTGAACCAACACTATAAAAGTCTTAATTCTAGCATAGCCACAACGGGATAAAACAGTAGTCACTGGCTGCACAGCAGGGGAGAAGGGAGTGAGGGTGAAAATGGGGATCTAGCTTCCAGCCCATGCAGAGTTTCTTCATTTAGGACACGCAGCCCGATTTTTCCTTAGCTCATTTTTCAGAAAAAGGTGTGTGTGGTATGGGTATAAATACAGTAATTAAGCAAGATGGACTTTCCTGGAGAAATAAAATACAAGCACATATAAGCAGGGAGGAAGAAGCCCGTGAGAACACTAGTTCATAACTCCAGCTCCCCACGCAGTTACAATAAGAGACACCTCCTTTCACAACCGCACAAAAAAAAAAAAAAAAAAAAAAAAAAAAAAAAAAAAAAAAAAAAGAGAGAGAAAATCAAGGTCAGTACATTTCAAAAAAGAAATAATCCTCTGGATGGACCTTAGCATTGCCATAAAATCGGGAGATTCAATTGAGGGTCATTGCGCTAGGCGATGAATGGTGAGGTACCAACGGCAGTCCTTGCCCTGGAGAACGGGCATACCAGCCGACGGATGTAATAGCTGGAAAAGAGGTGGGAGATGGGGTGTCACAGGGGAAGCAATTAATTATGCATGGAAAATGGCAATCGCAGCTTGCCACCTGCCCAGATAACTGTCGGGACATCATTGCCTGAGAGTATTATCAAGGCAAATAAGGAAGTAGGGATGCTTTGAGAGAGCTGGGCCACTTTATGGCTGATTGTAACAGTGGTGGCCACAGGTTGGGCTTGTCAGGGCTGGCTTGGCCGCGTGGCTCCTGTTCATTTCAGTGGATGCTGTGCGTGGTTGAGAGCCCTGGATGAGGAGGTCCGGGGGATAGCCGGGCTGGAGCATTTGTGTCCCTCTTTCTTCTTTCCTCCAGGTACTGGAAAGACCTCGACTTTGATCAAGTACGCAGAGAAATTTTCCAACCTTAATTTCCTGTATGTGGCATTTAACAAATCCATTGTGGAAAACGGGAAGAAGGTTTTCCCCAATAATGTCACCTGCAAGACTTTCCACTCGTTAGCTTTTGCGACTTTTGGCAAACAGTAAGTAGCGGCTTTCCCTGTCCCCTGGTTTTAGGCGCTGGGCCACCTTTAAAATATAGCTGTGTGTCCACTGCCTCCTTGTGACTCTACCAAGGGCTGTTCTCCAGGATCGACTGAGGACATCATGGGGGTGGGGAGCTGGCACGCTTGCCCCATTATTATCTGTCTCTCCTCTGAAAACCCTGTCTTCACATCATGTTTCTAGATCCATACGTTTTGCAGAAGGGAGGCATTGGGTATCTTTTGAGGAATGCCTGCTAACTACCTGTTTGAATTGCCTTTCTGCTTAGACTTAACTTGTTCTGTGTTTCTTAATATAGAAAATAAGTTAATCGCGCACTCTCCTGAACTGGGATCTCAGGCATGGTCTCGTTCAGTTGCACCAGTGTGAATTCATTCAGTTAAGGCCCTCTGCAGATACTCCTGCCGTTGCATTTAAACTTGGCATCAGCTGATTTAGCTCTAGCACCGTACAGTACTGGGTTTTGCTTGGGTTTAACTAAATTGGCCTCAAGCTGTTTGCCATTTGAAACGAGAGCCGCTGTGACTGTAGACCATGCATGAGCAAATGGATACCAGAGTGAGGTACTGCAGGGTCAGCCAGGGCATGCGCATACAGTGCATCGCTGTGCTCATTGTCTCTGTGCATCCCCTTATCCCATGACAAGTGCAGAACAACTCAGCCTTTTTTGATTGGGGAAGCTACCTTGCATTTAACTTGGGTCAAGAGCACATATGAGCAGTCACCACGGCGTAGCTAACACACTGTAAGTTCACCCCCCAGCTTCCTGCATGGTGACTTGTTCAAGTACCCATGCCCTGACTCCTGAGCTATCCTGGACCAAATTTTGTAGTATACACGTGTCAGCTATAGGTGCAAAAAGATGGCACTCCGCAGGTGGTGAAGCTGTACCAGCATCCTTTTCCCACATCTGGACACGACTGTGCTGGCAGAATCACAGCTACGCTTCTGGCGTGTAGGAGGGAGTTGGTGTAGTTACGCCACTGAAAACCTCCTTCTCCTTGACCGCTAGGAGGCAACAACATCCCCATAATGTAGACAAGCCCTGAAAAGGGAGGGCATCTTTTTTTATTCTTATTATTTGGTCGGTTTTGAGCTCTTGTGAAGGCCTGTTTAGCTCAAAGGCCACAATAAAGGATTGGAAAGGAAACCTCTTTTTGTTGAAGAGTCTGTATCTTCCTTATGTGAGAACTCAAAACCATCTTGTCCAGGTCCCTCACAAAAACCTTCAGCAGAATGGGAGCAATCTGCCTTAATAATCCTTTGAAATAATCTTTCAGGATTGCTTAGATATCATAAGGACTTAAAACAAACAAAAAAAGGCACAAACTCAGGGTTTTCAACCCTTTATGCCACCTTCACACCTGCGTGTCACTAGAAACGGTTGAACCCTGTCATACAAGATGGTCCAGTGGGTTGGTCGTTATTAGCCTTGCGGCCTAGGGATACCTGGGTTCGGTTCCCTGCCCTGCCGTAGATTAACTGTGGGACTTTGACAGGTAGGTTTGCTATGCAGGCAGTGCCATGGCAGCAGGAGATGAGACCTGATGGCAGAGCTGTGTCCAGAGTTGGGCACGGGGATGGATGGTATAGCCATGTTGGCTTAGGGAGGAAGGGACATGATCTTACATCCCCGGTTGGCATATTGGTGCTATAAACTCTGTAGTGCAGACCAGATCTTAGGTGATTTGTGCTCTTAATTTTTTCATGCATGGGGGCAAGAGCATTTCCCCGTTCACAGGGGTGAAGGAAAGGCAGCTACAACAAACCCTACTACCTTAACGTGGACTGTTGGAGGCCTTTAGATGGATCCTCTTCTCTCCTTTGCATCCCAGGAATAGAAGGAAAAGCTAGATGCTGCCTCCTGTTGGACTTTGTCCAGTCTAACCGTGCCTTCCCGTCCATAACGCAGATATAAAGAAAAAGGCAAGCTGAACTTCTCCAAGCTGTCGCCTTACACAATCAGCTTCCAACTCAAAACCCGCCAGGGGCAGTCTCTGTTCGTGCGGGGGAAGACGGTTGCTCAGACGCTCGAGAGCTTTTTCGCCTCTTCGGATGAGTTCATATCCACGGAGCACACTCCCATATGGTGCAAAAATACACATGGGATGCGGGTCCTTGTCACCGAGGGGGAGAAGACGGTGAGTCTCGGGGATGAGGTATGCATTTAGCTGGGAGGGGGGTAAAGCAGGCGTTGCAGTGGGAATGTGGCTCGTGGGAAATTGTGATGCTTTTATTTCAGCAATTGGAAACTACAGATTGAACGGGTTTTCCTGCATCCCTGAGTTTGTCTGTGCCAAGAGGAATGTGGCTTCCTGTGTGGTTATGTGAGCTGACAAGACAGGAAACCCGTGACACTTCTGTCCAAAGCCCTTTAAAACCAGTTAGAAACATAGGGTTGGAGGGGAGCTCAGGACGTCACATCTAGTCCAACCCCCTGCTCCAAGCAGGACCAGCCCCAGCTACATCATCCCAGCCAAGGCTTTGTCTACCTGGGTCTTCAAAACCTCCAAGGATGGAGACTGCACCACCTCTCTGGGTGACCTGCTCCAATGCTTCACCACCCTCCTAGTGAGGAAGTTCTTCCTATAGCTAACTTAAACTTTCTTTGCTGCAACGTGAGCCCATTGCTCCTTGTCCTGTCATCCACCCCCATTGAGATCAGTCCAGCTCCATCCTTTTTGCAACCCCCCTGCAGGTAGAGGTTTCCAGCAGCCTTTTAGCTGAGGTCCAACATCAGCCCCTTATGTACGTAGTTCTCTTTCTTCAGGGTCAGGAAAAGAAAAATCCTCTGCGTTTGTATTTCAAAACTTGTAGTAGAGGTGATGGCTTTTATTAAACCAAATTTTGCCTTTAGACCAATACAGCTACAACCTGAATACTTGCGTTTTTGTGAACATTTGGAAGTCCTTCAGATGGTCCAGTGCTGACAGTGAAATAGAAATGAAGACCTGTATTGACAATGCTCAGATCTGTCTTAAGAAGCCAGCTTAGCTCAGTCCTCCACCAAGGGGTTGCATAGCAGAGCAATTTTAGACAGTAGCTAGTTTTGGAGGGATTTTATTTGGATTTTTTTTTTTTTTTTTTACCTTCCCATGCCCTGCTTTTGAGCACTTGTGTTAAAATTCCATCATGTTTAAACATTAGGGAAAAAGTAAGAAAATAACAGATTTTTTTTTTCCCTTAACATTTGTGTGTGCTTTGATTTGTCTGTAACTATTATTCGGGGGGGTGTTTTCCTCGTGTTTAATTTTTGACTTTGTCATCCAGGTAGCTAGTTGATGCTCGGTTCCAAGTCCCAAAGGCTGTCAGCTGGTAAAGTAAAACCTCACAACACGCAGTCTTTCAGGTTAATTCCCTGCTAAGCACAAGTTTAACCCTCCATAATCAGGGACTGACTGAAAAAGGTCCAGTGGGTTTGTATGAACCTTTCAGCTCTAGTTCACCAGTTCAAATCCAAGTGAGATCAAAGGGAAGGAGGGTGGTCAAGCACTGGGACAGGTTACCCAGAGAGACTCAAATCTCCATCCTTGGAGGTTTTTAAGACAAAGCCCTGGCTGGGATGATGTAGTTGGGGCTGGCCCTACTTTGAGCAGGGGGTTGGACTGGATGTGACCTCCCGAGGTCCCTTCCCACCCTTGTTTTCTCCGGTTCTATGAAAACAGTTGACAAATTCATCTCACAGTGGCTACTGAATGGTTGCATGTTGGGAATTGAGCTGGAGCCAGTCCCATGACAAGTACCTGCCCATAATAATATGTGTGCAAGTAGGCCTAACAGGTAGTCTCACTAGAGAGGCTGAAGAAGGAACAGATGTGAAAAAACAAGCCCCCCCCAAGGACTGTTGACATGCAAAAACTTAATTGGGACCTACATTTTATAGGTAATGGCTGTTGAACAGGATTGGGTGAGGAAAAACAGATGGTCCAGTGCATGGGTTACTCTTTCCTGATGTGCAGATCCTGAATTTTTTGTTGTTTTGGTGGAGTTTTTACTTGTGTTTTGTTTGCAGGGGGGGGTTGCTTGCTGGTTTTAATTCACTCATTTGTGGCCTGGTGGACACGTGGCTTTGGGGACAGACAGGAGAGGACAGAGATTTAGCAAATCACTTTAGAGAGTCATTTGCAAAGGGAAACATGACCAGGGAAGAGGACGGAGACGGAGACATCTATCCCAGAAACCTAGGAGTACTTTCTTTCAGGGCTATCTGAGAAGTTTAAATATGAAGAGACATTGAGGAAATGGCTGGAGCAATAATGCAGTTGGATATTGCTGTATCTAGACTTGCTATCCAAGTCCTAACAAGATCTTAACCCAGGAGAACAGAAAGACATTTTTGTGCCTGGAAATTTTACCTGGTTCCTTGTGATGTTGCTTTCTAGATCATCGTCAAGGAAGCAAGACAGATATGGGACAATATGAAGGCGCTGAACAGAGCTACGGAAATGAACTGCAAAATAACGTGTGATGGTACGTGGCTTGCGAAAATACCGTGACCTGGCTTGTAGATAACCTTATAGGTGGGCTACTGATAGAAGAGGCAGGTCTACAGCCCAAGTCTTTTATTACTTACACCCCCAAACAGAAAAATAAGCACTCATCCCAAAGCCCATCAGGTTACCCGTGACAGCACAACATGGAGAACAAAAACCTATACCAGGTGGGGAGACTCATGGTTGGCAGGAGGGGAGGAGGGTGACAAACAGATTGGCAGCAGGTTGTCTTGCATTTTGTTGAGTTCTCCAAATTTCCCTCTATCCCAGATCCTATATTTATACATGGCTTATTATATTCTAATACATGTTCTGTGATGCATTTTATTTACATTTCTTTCTACTACTGAAACTTGGGGCTGGAACGAACCTGATTGCTTGTGGACTCGGAAAGGGTTGATTAGTTGGGATCGATGCACGTGTGAAAGTTATGCTTCTCTAGAGGGGAAGATTCCTCTTCTTTTTGCAACGCTGTTCAACACTGTCCCATTTCTTCTTTACCTTAGTTTACAGTCTTCTCTGAAAAGGCTGCTTTGTTTTTACAATTTTACTTAAAAAACCTAACAAAGTAATAGCTATTCCAGCAAAACAAGATCTAATGCATGTGGTTACACCAATCATTGCTGTAAGCTATGATGGAATATATTTGGATCATCCAATTCAAGGCCTAGCGCTCTGTTTAATTACTGGTGTAGCCGGAGAGGTTGATGGCAGCCTTTACTTTGCTGACCCACCTGGTTGTCAGCCTGCAAAGATTCACCCTGCGGGCACTGAAACAGGCTTTGAGGCTGCCTGCTTAGCTACACTTCTGCAGATGGACCTAGGCCCCTGAAAATGGCCAGTGCTGGTAACAATACACACATTAAAAACCAAGCCCTCAATTTGAAAAGCAGCAGTAAAAGAGAAAATAGACAACACTTTTTTAATTGATGCATGTAAGTCATGCCCAAGTGGACTATTTTGGGGAGATATACCTACTGTTTTCCTGGGGGGGGGTGGGGGGCGTTGCTTTGTGCATACAACAGCTCTTGAAGTGTACTTGGTATCACTGCTTTCCCTTTCCAGTCCTTTTGTTCTTTGGCTATTTGCAACCAGGAAGCAGCAAAGATGATAGTAACATAAGGGAACTAAAAAAGTATATTTGAAAACCCACCAGCCCTTTCAGGGCAACTTGTGGCCAGGAGATGCGACTTTTAAGTTGGTCTTTTAAAAACTGGATTTTAAGTGGGCGGCAAACAGACCGAAACAGTGGGTCTCTAGTTAGGATTTTTGATCATCTAAATTATGCCGTCTGTTTGTTCTTCCAGGGTACTTGAAACTTTGGCAGCTTAGCAAGCCGCGGCTGTCGGGATATCACGCCATATTTGTCGATGAGGCGCAAGACTGCACTCCAGGTGAGCGATGGGGCACTTCTCGGTGGTTTGCAGACGTTAATCGCGGTGAGAACATCAGCATGCCTATTCTGGGCTGTCGGTGACGGTGGCAGGTAGCAGATACATTAGAGCACCGGGGCCCAATCTTTTTTTGTCAGGCATGCTGCAAATTAGCACTCAGTTCCCCTTCCCCGACCCAAGCTGCTACTTTGCTTTCTGCTCCCTGCCTTATCTTCCACCATGTTCTCTGTCTTCCCCCCTGCAGTTTGAGGAAGGGTATATGAGCAGAGCAAGTGGAGGGTGATCCGTCCTCTGTTAAACTCTACAAGTTACCAGTAGTCACAGCTTTAGGGATGTCCTGAGCCTGCGGTGACACTCCTGACGGTTGTGTTTCAGAGCTTGTCCTCCCTAAATTTGTCTAATCGCTTTTTGAACCCAGTTATGCTCTTGGTCTCAACAGTGTCCTGTGACCATGAATTCCACAAATGAATTAAACCTGGGGTTTAAAAAAACAATGTGCTTCCTTTTTGTTTGCTTTTAAAACAACCGTCTGATAACTTCATCAGATGCCTCCTCATCCTTCCACGAGGAACGCAGCTGAAGAACCATCCCCTATTCAAGTTTTTCTCTTTGTGACTCCAAAGACCTCTAGTGTGTCCTCCTCGCTTGTCGCTTTTCCATATGGAAGCTGCTCCACATCCCTTCTCATCGACCGTATTGCCCCCATTTTCCTAGCTGAAGTGGGTCGGGCATATAATTTCTCGGTCTGTGTTTGATTTACCAGGCCAGGCTCTTGGAACTGCATCCGTAACTGGTCAGGTGTGCATATGGGAAGATGCGAGGTGGGGTCGCTCTTGAGGAGCGAAGAGGGAGTTTTTGATGCAGCTCACCGATTTTAAGCAGTGCCTATGGGTCTGCTAAGCCCATGCCAAGCAATGTTGAAACCTCTAAGGGACATGCCTTCTTCTGGAGAAATCGGTGTCTGAATAAAGCAGGACAGACAAAAGGTGATGAGATGAGACGGGCTCTTTCTCTTTGTAGGCTAGGGGGAACCAGAATAGAGAGGTGGAGCCATTTGCACAGGGTTATCACATAGTGGGTGCATCTACACGTGCAATTAATGTGATACGATCAACTCCGGAGCAGTGTGCTCCAGAGTACGCTGCTCCTGGGCGCAGTGTCTACACGTGTGCCTGGGACAGCAGCACTTTGAGCTGAGGCGGAGCAGCCCCAGGCGGGCAGCAGGCTCAGGCATCAGCCCCGGGCTGCAGGTGGTTGCGTCGGGTGACGGAGGGGCTGCATGGGGCACAAGAGTGTCCAAACCAGGGAGCTGTGTGGCCGACCCCCGAGCCTGCTGCCAGCCCGGGGCTGCTGCGCCCTGGCTCAAAGTGCCACTGTCCTAGTCACCATCTACACATGCATTGCAGCACAGTAAATGACTCTGCCATATGATAGTAATGCTATCATATGGCAGAGTGAATTTACTGTGCCGTAATACCGGTGCATGTGTAGATGGCGGTACTTTACTAGGGAGCTAATTAGGCAACTCCACAGCAGATGCACCCAGAGAGTCCTTGTCGAAGCTGGGAATTTGAACCCAGATGCCCTGTGCCCCGGTTCAGTTAACCACAAGACCGTGTGTTGGCCAAGCCAGAGGCTCAGTAAAATGACCAGAAAGGGTTAATTTAATAAGGGTTTTCCAAAAGAATTTAAAAAAACCAAACAAATGCAAAAGTACTAAAGTGACGGGGGGAAAAAAAAAGGGTTTTGAGCTTGGTAGAAAACCAGAGCATGAGAATGTGGTTGTTTTAAAGTGAAGATCTTGCTTTTTTAGGCAAAACAGGGAAACATGCGGATGCGCTGCGTTTAAGTTAAGTGCGTAGTCAGGATTCAGTTACTCGCGGGGTTTCGAAACTATAGGACCGTGTGGTAAATAATAAGAAGCCAGAATATATAAATACTCAATTTAGGTAAGAAATGCCGAGGTTATTTGCCCCGATTCCCGCCGCCAGCAGTCCAATCGCTGTCTGAAAGTGAAGCACGGCTTCAGCCCTTTTATCCAGCTGAGGGTTTATTTCTCGGGTGGGAGCGGGGTGGAGCCTGCGTGTTCATTTTGCACGCTGCTTCTTTGGTGTTTCCTCAACGCTTTGCTTTTTTTGCTTTCCGCAGCCATCATGAACGTGGTGCTGTCCCAGACCTGTGGAGTCATCTTCGTGGGGGACCCGCACCAGCAGATCTACACCTTCCGAGGGGCTGTCAACGCGCTTTTTGAAGTGCCGCACACTCACATCTACTATCTCACCCGGGTAAGGCTGGGGCACTGCATGTGTGTGTAGGGGAATGGGGGGTTCCGTCCTCTGCCATTGCATTCGCCGTTTCCCCAAAGGACGTTTCGCATTAAGCTCTTAATACTTAGCAACCTTTTATAGGAGAAGAACGGTCCCTCTTTGAGAGACCTCTGCCCATAGGAGCTGTTGAGGTTTACTTCTGTAGGGACGTTTCGCTTAAGAAATGTTCATTTTATGCTTTCTTTACGTGCTTGTATCGGTGAATTATCCTGTTCTCCGGTACCGATGGGTGGGGCGGGGAGTGTGGGAGAGACCGCCGTGTCTGTTTTAATGCTGATCTTTGGAAAAATAAAGTTGGAAGGCACCACGAGAGATCTAGTTTAGTGGGGGTAGCTTTCTTTTGGCAAGAGTGCTGCCCCACACCTTCCCCGAGTGCCACTCCAGACCCCTTCGCCTGCCTGATCTACTGGTCCTCTTTCTGCTCCCAGCCTGGTGCTCTCTGCCTGATCTGGCACTCTGCTCCCTGCCCAATTTGCTGCTTTGCTTTCTCCTTCCTGCTCTATCTGCTTCTGCACTGCCTTTCCCTGTCCCAGTCTGCTGAATACCACACACAGGGGCTTCCCATGTCACTTGTGACACCTGCGAGACAGGCTGGCTACCCCCGGTCTAGTCTGTTGGTTTGATGCCCTTGAAATGACCTGGTGGTTCTTGGTTCAGAATATAGGTGTGGAAGGGACCTTCCAGGTAACAGAGTCCAGGTGCCCGTGCAACTAGCAGCGGTCATTTGGGTCCGCAAGAGCATCCAACCATCCATCCCCTTCCCCGCGTGTCAGCCCCTGACGAGCCACAAACAAGGAGCACCCTGCAGAGGGCCGCAAGAAAAGAGCAAGAGAGAGAAAGGGCTGCCCATGCCTTGCCTTTACGTCCCGCTGGCTACAACAACGAGCCCAGTGCTGTCTCTGTGCAAACGCTAGGATTCCCGACTACACCAGCCATAGCAGGGCTCCTAGCTATATACTCACAAGCTGCCTGCATCGAGTCATAGAGAAGTTGGATTGGAAGGGATCTCCAGAGATCGCATCTAGTCCAACCCCCTGCCTGAGACAGGATGAGCCCTGTCCAAACCATCCTGTACAAATCTAGCATCTAAACCAGGAGTGGGCAGTTGGAGGGACGCTTAATGAGTTTTGGGGACCTGTCGAGGGCCACATCTGTCTCTGTGTGTGTCTCACTCTCTCCTATTCTCTATTTGTCTTGCTCTCTCTTTGTGTCTCTCTCTCCTCTTCCACCCCCCCACTGCAGGGGAAGCCCTGCCTGGCTCCACAGGTGATGCCTGATGCTGCTGGGCCAAAGCACTCCTGCCTGCCCCCTTGGCACCATGCAATGGCTCAGAGCACCCGGCCACCTATGGGCCAGATTCAGCGAGTTGGTGGCCGTCCGCCCACAGGCCAGATCGGATGTGTTGGCATATTTTGCCTACCCCGATCTAAACTCTTCCTAAAACTACCATCAACCCACATGCAACACAAGGCATCACCCCTGAACCTGCCACAGGTAAAGCAGGGGAACCACAGTGGCCAATGTCCTGCATTATCCTCGTGTAGGATTTTCCTCTGTTTTGCCTCATTCTGGTTATTTTTGTAGAGCTTCCGATTTGGTCCTGAAATAGCTTATGTTGGAGCTACCATCCTGGACGTCTGCAAGAAAGTCAGGAGTAAGACGTTAGTGGGTGGAGTTCAAGAAGGTGAGAGTTCACGTTGTGTTTGAACAGCACCTTGCACAGTGCGGGGCCTGTCCCTACGTGCGGTAACTCGGCGCTACTGCAATACAAAGGCAAATGTAATTTTTAAAACGAATTTGTAGCTTTTTAATATGGAGGCACGTGTCCTTTCCTTCCTGCATTGATCAACTGGAGAGGGGGCTTCTTCTCAATGTTACAGGTGACATAAGAGGCAGCACGACGGGGAAGATAGCCCTCATATCCCGGAGCAATTTAAATGCGTTTGAGGATGCGGTGAAGATCACTGGAAGAGAGCAGCCCACGAGAATACATTTGATTGGGGTAGGGCAGGCTTTTCTTTTATTGATCAGACCTGGGATTTTTCTCCCCCATTGGAATTTTCCTGCTAGTTTTGCTGAAATTGCACTTTCCAGGAAAAAAATCACGTCACTAGGAAACTCCCCCCCGTCTCCACTTTGACCTTGTCCACAGAAGATGCAGCTCTCTAAGCAATGTGACAACCAGCTGAGATTGTTTTCACGGTCGCTCATATTCTGCATTTTCATTTTCCGGGGCCAGCTGGTTGTTTTAGGCTGAATTACGCCTTTTGCGCTGCATGTTGACCATGATCTCTGATGTCTACGAGCCTCGCTTCTTGAGTCCCTTGGGTTGTTTCCTGTAGGGGCCTTCTCATGAAACTGCAGCCCCCTGCCAGGAAACCAGTTTCTCTATAAACTTCAAATAGCCTCTTCAGCGAGGTCCTTTTTTAGAACTTTTTCTTTCTTCTTTTTTTTTTTTTTTAGGGCCTTGCTCGTTTTGGACTAGACAAAATCCATGATATTTGGAAGCTCCTTCAACCTAAAGATGTACGGGAGGCATGTAAGTATGTCTTTCCTGCGGCCTTCGCTGCACTGATGTTAACTTTCTAGTGCTTGTGTGATGAACTCGCGAACTCTCTCAATGCAGCAGCTAATGCAAGAACATTTCTCTCACTTCTGTGGCATGAAATCATTTTGTCCGTTCCTTTTCTGGGTGAATGCTGTTGGTCAGACGGAAGGACTGCCGTCCTTTTTTGGTTATTTCTGTATTTGTTCAGGTGCAGTGGAAAATATGGAAGCCAATAGGTTGCATTGCTGGCCCTTTTGAGATTTTTAGATCTCACCTCCTGAAAGTCTGGAACCAATTATTTTTCCCCCCCTCTTTCTTCCCCCTCTTTGTTATTAGAGGATTGGATTTATTTTTAAATTAGACCTTTTGAACCCTGATGAACACCTCTCTTTCAAAGAGCATCTTTCACATAAATGTATATACAAGGGCTGTTCAAAAAGTATAGAGACCGATGCTGCAGGAAACAAAATGTCTTATTTACAGGGTTTTCGGCTTAATCTCCTTCGAAGTATGCCCCTTCTGCAGCCGCACGCTTCTCCCAATGTTTCTGCCATTGTCGGAAGCGCCTCTGATCAGCAGTTTGTGGAATTGCTAAAAGCTGCTCAGTCGCATTTTCTTTGATGGTTTCCACATCACAAAATCTCCTTCCTTTCAAGGTTTTCTTTAGTTGCGGGTTGCACGGCCCGTAGCAGGTGAGTATGGAGGCTGCCGCAATTGTGGGATTCGCTGCGACTTTTTTCTCTTCCCTTAACTAAAGAAAACCTTGAAAGTGTGTGTACACGTGTATATGTGTATATACGTGTGCGCGTGCATGTGTGCGTCTGTATACATATATACGTGTGTACGCATGCGCGCACGTGTGTGTGCATATATACATATATACGTGTGTATGTGTGTGTGCATATTCACGGAAGCGTATTTTTGTGTGTGTGTGTGTGTGTGTGTGTGTGTGTGTTGTCCAATTCACTTCAGATACAGTAGGGAAAAACTTACCTATACCTCAGACCCAGCTCACCAGTGCTGCAACTCTTTTTCTTCGTTGGTGCAAACGAAGGAGTCTGTAATTAGTGCTCGGTGATAACAGTTCCCCATGGGCGTGGCTTGTCTCTGGAATATAAGCCATTTGGAAAACACTTGTTCAAGACACGTAGTACCGTCCATGTCAGAACATAATCTCGTCGTGACTCAGATCAAATAAATTGTATGGATCTCGGCTGCCTGGAAGTTTAAAAACAGGATTTATCTCGCGCTAAATCCTGTGGGGATCCACCCCAAAAACCAGCCTACTAGCCCCAAAAGATCCCTGTAAAAAATAAATGTGGACTTTTCACCTAGTAATGATAACATCCTTTTCTTACATAGCACTTCCATCACTAGATTTCAAAGTACTTTACAAAGACTGTTGTATCAGTGTCCCCATTTTATAGGCGAGCAAACTGGGATGCCAAGAAGGAAGGTGCCTTGCCCAGACTCCTTCAGCACACTACATGGCAAAACAGGGAATCAGCAGTACCCAGGAGCCCAGAGCCCCCTGGCTAGCTTTCTGTCCACTAGCCCACATTGCCTTCCCTTGTATCCAGGCTCATTTTGTTTGCAGTGAAAAATGCTGCTAATTGTGCCTTTCTGGGGCATTAATGATTGTGTCCAATGCTTCTTTTCCCCAGCAAACCTGAGAATAAGTGACCCTTTTATCAAAAAGTGGGATGAGTCTGAGGGCTTCCAGGGTCTAAAGGAATATGCCACGACCAGTGAAGACAAGGAGCTGGAAGTGAAGATCGCGATAGTGGAGAAATACAATGTCCGGATTCCCGAGCTGGTGCAGAAGATCAAGGCCAGTCATACATCAAACAGAGAATTTGCAGGTAAGGAAGCGGAGCAAGGCCGCTACTTCACAGGCGAAGGGAAACTATTCTGGGATCATCCAACCTCCCTTCTCCTCTGCATCTGCACAGAGACGGCAGTGAGACTGAGTTGGCCTTGCCTCCTAAGAAGGCTGAGAACGGCGCAGCCATTCCCAGGGTCAGCAAACAAAGTTCCCATTGCAGAGGGGTTCTTCCCAGGTTAGATGAAGACTCAGCTAGTATTTCTAAGTCGGAGACACCCAGCCCTTTAATTTTTTCTGCTTGTTAAGCTGCATATTTAGTTCAGCTCTTAGGTTACTGGCTTAAATTCACAGGATTTCTGCAAGAACATCAGCTCCCTCCAGAGGTGGTGCAATCATCTGTTCTGGAAATCTTCAAGGGGAGACTGGGGTCACCTGACCCCCAGTTGTCTTTCCTGCCTAGTGCAGGGGGGCTGGACCCGATGATCTTGCGAGGTCCCTTCCAGCCCCTACAATCCATGAACATTGTATTTATTTCTTACATAGTGCTTCCACCACTAGATTTCAGAGTGCTTTACTGATTTCACTTTTCTGATCTTACTAAAGATTTCAAAGTGCTTTACAAAATGCAACTGGCTGTTGCATCAGTGTCCCCACTTTACAGGTAGGCAAACTGAGATGCCAAGAAGGAAGGTGCCTTGCTCAGACTCACCCAGCACACTGCACGGCGAGACAGGGAATAGCTGCTTCAGAGCATTTCTTCTTGACATTCAGCCTTGGGTGCCAGCCAGGTAGCTGGGCCTTCTGATGAACCCAAACCTTTGTTAATGGGCTGTCGGACTGAGAGCTGTGATCTGGGCTTTGAGCAGAGCTGATTTGAACCAGCACTGTGCCTTGGTGCCAAGAAGGCTAACAGCATCCTGGGCTGCATTGGTAGGAGCGTTGCCAGCAGATCGAGGGCAGCGATTCTTCCCCTCTATTCAGCACTGGGGAGGCCACGTCTAGAGTCCTGTGTCCAGTTTTGGCCTTCCCACTGCAGAAAGGATGTGGACAAATTGGAGAGAGTCCAGTAGAGGGCAACAAAAATGGTTTGGGGGCTGCGGGATGTGACTGGTGAGGAGAGGCTGAGAGATCTGGGCTTATTTATCTGAGCGGGGATTCAATAGCAGCCTTCAGAGGGTTGCAAAGAGGATGGAGCAGGACTGCTCTCAGTGGGGGCAGACGACAGAGCAAGGAGCAATGGGCTCACGTTGCAGCAAGAGAGGTTTAGGTTGGATATTAGGAAAAAATTCCTCACTAGGAGGGTGGTGAAGCACTGGAACAGGTTACCCAGAGAGTTGGTGGAGTCTCCATCCTTGCAGGTTTTAAAGACCCAACTAGACAAAGCCTTGGCTGAGATGATGTAGCTGGGGCTGGTCCTTGCTTTGAGCAGGGGGTTGGACTAGATGTGACCTCCTGAGCTCCCTTCCAACCCTTGTTGTCTGTGATTTCATACAGGCAGATGGAGAAGAAAACGTAGAACAAGGTAACCTAGTTACTATGCAGTAAATTCCAGCTATGGCAATGCCGACTGACTCATTGCTCTCCCTCCCTTTCTTTCTCTACCTGTGGCGTGTTGGTTCTAGATTACCTGATCGGCACCGTACATCAAGCCAAGGGCCTGGAGTTCGATACAGTGCTGCTTGCAGATGATTTTGTGAAAGTCCCGTGTGCCAAACACAATCTCCAGAGGCTGCCTCAATTTAGTCCGGGTAAGGGGGAGCCTTTCCGCTGGAACTGTTCTTGTCTCTCAAGAAAAGCAATGCATGTCTCCTCCCTCCTGCCCCCCCAGCAGCTACTACTCTCTGGGAACAGACTCTATAACAAACCTCAAGGTTGTCACTGGCCGCACCTGGCTTTTTCGGACCATCAGCATGGTTAACCCTGTCTATGGGAGACGGCTTAAGACTTTTGGGAGCACATTCTCCCCTTGGCACGTGTGCGTCGTCCCTGTGTAAAGCCACCAGGAATGACGGAAACAATTGCTCCAAGGAAAGGACATCTTCAACCTGTGTGACGCTCTCATTGACGTCACAGACAAGTCCCGTCCTGGCTGCGTAACAACCCCATGGAAGGGGGCTGTTTGGCTGTTTTAGTCGCAGAAATAATCAGTCATGACACAGCTAAGGCTCATCCATTTAGATCTTCAACTTCCTCCAAAAGCAGTTGATAGAACAAGCTGCAACATCAAAGAAATTGCAACTTTAGAAAACAGTTCCCTTAAAATACTTATATATTTACCCCCTGTCTTCCTTTCTTTAATCCCTGCCTAGCTATATATGCTGAAGATGAGTGGAACTTGCTCTATGTTGCGGTGACCCGTGCCAAAAAGTGCCTGTTAATGACAAAGTCCCTAGAATACGTTTTGACGTTGGCTGGGGTAAGTTAAATGTGGTCTGGCAATGTGTCCTTAGCCCTTAGAGGCCTGGGAAACCAGATTGAAGAGGAAAGGCTGAAAGAACTTGGATTTAGTTTGACGACGAGAAGACGAAGTGGGGATTTGATAACGGTATTCAAATATGTGAAAGGCAATTATAGAGAGGATGGAGATGGGCTTTTCTCTGTGACCACAAAAGACAGGACTAGGAGCAATTGGCTTCAAGCTGCAGCAGAGCAGATTTGGGTTGGAAATGAGGAGGAACTTTCTGACCACGAGGGCAGTCGAGCATTGGAAGAGGCTGCGTACAGAAGTTGTGGGTAGACTTTTTCAAGAGCAGGTTGGATAGACGCTTGTCCGGGGTGGTGGAGTCGGGGATGATCCTGCCTTGAGTAAGGCACTAGATGATCTTGTGAGGTCCCTTCCAGCCCTACTTTCCTCTGATTCTGTGACCTGTGGGTGCTGCAGCTTATAGCTGGGGAAGTGGGATATTGGTGAGTCGTCAACATAGGATTACAGGAAAGTAGAGCTAAAATGCAGCTCCCAAGGTCATCTAGTCCAGCCCCCTACTCAAGGCAAGGTCATCCTTGGGTAACCTATCCCAGACAAGTGTCTGTCTACCGTGCCCTTAACTTCAGGAACAAACCCCTGCGCATGGCTGCCCAAAACATCCCAAACCCCCTTTAACCTGGCACAGGTAAAGCAGGGGCATGAGGGCAGTGCTGTTACCCTGCCACTGCATGAACAGAAGTACTTTGTTAAAATACACTTGAGAGAGCCAGGCGTGTGCACACCTTCTCCTGTCTGCCTCTCGGTCTGTGTTAGCGCTTTCTCCAGCTCCTTCCTTTCCAGCTTCTCTTTGTGGGTGGATGTATATTTTATGCCCTCGTGCCGCTGAGTCAGAGCTTTAAAAAAAAAATTGTTTCGGTGCCCCGAGCTCCCTGAATGCCACCTTCTTCCTCTTTCCAGGAGTACTTGTTGCGGGCAGAACTCACCAGCGAGATTTTAAAGGATGGGCTTGTGAAGTGCTCGGTGCCACAGTGCAACAACAGCGTGCCTGCCGAGTCCTTCCTCACCATGAAGAAACAGCCGTTAACTTATGTGAGTCTCTTCCCTTCTCTCCTTTCTGCTTTGTAAATCATGTTTGGGGACCTGGGTGCCAGATGGGCAGCCCTGGCGATCATCGAGTCATAGAGAAGTGGGGCTGGAAGGGATTTCCAGAGGTCATGTCTAGTCCAACCCCTGCCTGAGGCAGGGTCAGCCCTGTCCAAACCATCCTGGACAAATCCATCATCTAAACTCTTCCTAAAACTACTGTCAACCCACACACAAGACATCACACCTGAACCTGTTGCAGGTAAAACAGGGGAACCACAGCAGTCAACGTCCTGCTTCTATAAAATGTAGTTAATATACGCTCAAGAGATCCCAGGTAGATGTCCCGTCTCAGCCTTTTAGCTATGTACACATATGTGTACATAGCTATGTGTACATATGCTCCCTAAAGTCATATAGTCTATAGATGGTACAGAGTCATGGGAGCACAAGGAAACAATGAGACGATACGGGGCAGCACGACTGGTGGCTCTGGGTTTGGACGAGTCAGATCCTCACCTTGATTTTGGCAGGGGGCATGCCCCCAGACCAGCTCCTAGCTGGGCCCCTGCTTCCACCTGCCAGACAGAAATCATTTGACTTCCTTCCCTTGCTGAGGGGGAACACGCTCAGGAAGTGTGTTTGTGAGGTTTGAAGTTTGGGCGTTCGTGACACAGGAACCGTGCAAATGCAGAAGTAGGTACCAGTCCCTAGCACCTTTCTAGCCCTCCTTTTATCACAGATTGAAATCACGCTCTTTTGGAGGGGGGAGCTTTTAAACGGGGTTTCTTTGGCAAGATGTAGCTGACAGACCATGGCTCGCGTGGGCTACTTCAGCAGCAAGGAACCAGCTCCTGTTTCTGCAAGCGGAGGGGAGTTGCATGCACACGTTGACCTGGTGCATAGGAGGAGGAAGGGACTCTGTGCGTCTCCAGTCCTGTCCCTTGTAACATTTCTTTGTGTCCTTTTTCCCCCCTCTCCCACACAGAGCAATGGCACACAAGACCCAGGGGGCTACCTGTGCCACTCGTGTGTGCAGCAGCGTCTCGGCCCCTTCACACTGCTGACCGTTTCCCCCAGTATCGTGCAAGCCATGGATGTTGCAATGGAAGCGATTGAGGTTCCACGGCATATTGCTGTCCTGTACGAGCTGTTTTGACCCTGGCCAGGGCTGCTTGGAGAATACCCATAAGTTAGCCCGTCTGCCACCTTACCAATGTCACTGGAGATCCGAGCAGTGCTGTCTGTGGAGAAGCTCGTCCAGAGAGGGATCAGAAGCAAGGTGGGCACTGTATGAATAAGACCTGGGTCACCCCTCTGTTGTGGAGGGACCTTGCTCCTGCTCCTTTCTAAAGGACACCGGTGGCCGACGCATCCCGGGAGCCCCTGTGTTATGTCTGGCTGCAGCAGCTCTGCATCCCTTGCACAGCACAAGATGCACTTGGAATCAAACAGATGCCTTTCATGAGCTTCGTGTCCGAAAAGTTTGCCTGTGATTGTGGCAGGCTGCCATCACTACAGGACATTCGGGGGGCCTGCCTGGTGGTGATTGCCCAGGCTTTTGTCCCCGCTATCTAAGCCCCGACTTGATGAATTCTGGGCATTGAGGAAAACCTGAGAGAATGCAAAGTGAAGCGGGGAAAAAAGTCAGAGGGGTTTTCATTGCAAAGGAAAGCTGACTTCAGATTTTATAAGGCTCATCTCTCTTCTGTCTCTGGGCAGAGACCAGAGGGGTTGCACAGGTGAATGCAGGGCTGTCAGACTTCAGAGGGGCTGGGGCCTGCAGGACCCCCAGCCACACGCAGCCGTGCAACCCTGCCCCTGTTGCATCACATGCCACGAGTCCCACAAGCCATGAGCTCCCCCTCCCCTGCTCCCCTCTGGCCACATTCCCCCCTCCAGTCCCATGTAGCCGATGACTCCCGCTGCACCACACCAGTGTGGATGCTCCAGGAGGTACCCAAATCCCCTGAGCCCTCCAGCCAAGGGCTCCCTCAGCCCTGCAGGTCAGGCCTCCCCATCCTGCAGGCAGGGGAAGCTCAAGGAAGGAGCAGGTCCTGGAGGCTGCACATTAACCTCTTGGGGGCTGCACAGTCGGACGGCTCTGGATGAACTTGCTCCATCAAGAATATCATCGTTAGTATTTGGTGGCAGTTGTTCACTGTTCCCGTGTTGGACAGGACACTACCCTGTCCCTGTGGCACTCCCTGTTCCCTCCTGTCCTCTGAGCGATCCATCTCTCCAAACCAAATCAACTCCTCGAATTATGCCCCGAGGTGAAAATGGCAGGGCACACCCGGAGTGTTTTTAAGCTGTGAGCAAACCTGTTGCAGCGACTGGTTTTTATTTTGTATTAAAAAGTGCATTTCTGCCAGAGGAAGCATGGTCTTGGATTTCTGTGTGCTTCGGTGCTGCATCCATTAGAGACAACGCCACGGCGCGTGCCTGCTGCCATAACCCGCGGCCGTCCAGCTGACTGGAGCCGCGCTGTGGAGCTTGTCGAAGTTGGGGCCGCGGTTTGTTGGCACAGCTGTCAAAGCTGCCGTATTGGCGCAGGTCTGGCGCCCGGGGGGTGAAGGCTGCCGCTGTTCACCCTCCCTTTTCCCTGCTGCTGGTTTTCACCAGTAGCAGCCAAAGACCCTAAATTCAGCATCAGGCAGTAGTGTAGGGGGTGAGACCCCCTGCAATTTAACCCCTCGTCCACTTGGACGGCTCTTTTCTAGATGCTGGTTTTAGCCCTTTGGAGAAGGGAGGCGGGGAAATCCCTCTAACGAACACACCAGACTTTGTCCCTGAATTGCCAGAACATCAAAGCATCTGACCGTATTTATGACAGTGACTTTTTGAATGAGGTTTCTGCATCAAAGGAATTTATTTCCCTTTGGCAGCAGCCCTAATAGCGCCTCGTGCCCACGGCAAGTGTCCTTAACCTCAAATGACACTTCCTGTGTATTCCTGTAAGGAAGTGTAGTGTAATTCAGATCAATCCCTCACTAATCCTTGGTTGGATTAACACATTCAAAGAGTGGCTCAGTATCCAACTGGAAGGAGGTATCAAATGGGGTTCCCTAGGGGTCTGTCCTGGGTCCAGTATTGTTTGGCGTTTTCATTAATGAGTTTGGACGATGGTATTGAGCGTAGCAAATTTGTGGATGACATCGAGTTGGATAGAGTTACAGACAGTCTGAAAAGTGGAGCAAGAATCCAGAATGACCCGGATAGTTTGGAGATCGGCTCTCCCTCCTTCCCCCTCCAAAAAAAGGCGAAATTCAACAAGCACAAGTGCCAAATCCTGCTCTTGGACCAGAATAACTGCATGCACAAATCCAGACTGGGGAACGAGTGGCCAGGCTGCAGCACTGCAGGGAAGGGCTGGGGGTTACAGTGGACCATAATCATAGAGGATCATAGAAAATGGGGGTTGAAGGGACCTCAGGGGGTCACATCTAGTCCAACCCCCTGCTCCAAGCAGGGCCAGCTCCAACTACATCATCCCAGCCAAGACTTTGTCAATCTGGACCTTTAAAAACCTCTAAGGATGGAGATGGCACCACCTCTCTGGGTGACCTGTTCCAGTGCTTCACCACCCTCCTAGGGAGTTTTTTTCCTAATATTCAACCTCAACTTCCCTTGCTGCAACGTGAGCCCATTGCTCCTTGTCCTGTCATCTGCCCCCACTGAGAGCAGTCCAGCTCCATCCTCTTTGCAACCCCCTGCAGGGAGGTGAAGGCTGCTATTCAATCCCCCCTCAGTCTTCTCTTCTGCAGGCTAAATAAGACCAGTTCCCTCAGCCTCCCCTCAAAATGAATGTGAGCCAACGATGTGGTCTTGGTGCAAAAAAAGCCAGTAGCATCCTGGGTTGTATTTAGAGGGGGGTCACTTGCAGATCAAGGGAGGCAATTCTTCTGCTCTGTTCAGCACCGGCAAGGCCTCCCCTGGAGTCCTGCGTCCAGTTTTGGGCCCCCCCGTTCAAGTATTTCATAGATTTCATAGACATTAGGGGTGGAAGGGACCAAGGGAGATCACTGTGTCCAGTCCCCTGCCCGAGGGGCAGGAAGTCAGCTGCGGTCAAAGGATCCCAGCAAGATAAATGTCCAGGAAGGATGTGGGCAGGTTGGAAAGAGTCCCACGCACAGCAGCAAAAATGATTAGGGACCTCAGAAGCAAGACTTTGGAAAGGTTGAAAGAACGAAGGTTATTTACTCTGGAAAAGGGAAGACTGAGGGGGATTTGATAACTGTCTTCGAGTACCTGAAGTGCAATTATGGAGAGCATGGGGGTAACTATTTGCATGTGGCTGTAAGAGGTTGGTTGCTGCTGAAGAGAGCAGGTCCGGAGGGATGTTGGACAGGAGAGGGTTAGCATGAGATGCTGAGGTGTCATGCAAATCTTGAGCCGCTGTCTCATGTCCTCCTCTCTCGCAGCCAGCGAGGAGGTGAGAGACGGGGAAGCATTGAGCAGACATGGATTGGGGGCATTTGGGCTGCACAAGTGCAGTGACCCTGGGAGGCTGGACCTAGCGGCGCCGGGGTTTTGGGGAAGTTAATTCTGGCCTTTTGACTCGGAGCAAGCGTAGACCTGTTGGGAGACGGTGCACCATGGAGCACCCCTGGTTTTACAGGGCGCTGAACAATTTCCAGAGCGAGTACGGGCTACAGAAGGAAAGCCCGGAGACCACCCTGGGGCAATGCAGGAACCTCCTGATGTGCAGTCACCCTGAGCTCGAGCAAAGGGACTGTGTTAAAATGTTTAACTGCTTCCAGGAGCGGCGCACCCCTTGGGAGAAGACGTGGCAGTATCAAAGACAGAACTTACCATTGTTTTTGGAGATGTCTGGGGGGTTTAGTAGTAACTTGGTGCCCAGCAGCCTTTTCCTGCTGGCTGTCAGGAGCCTTGAAGAGGCTTACAATCCCTGTGTGGCTTCTGTGGTCCAAGATAATCTGTCCCATGTGAGTCCATAGGGCAGCACAGTAGTGCTGAGTGTTGATCTAACCACTGTTGCTTCCTGTGGTAGCATGCTGCCGCGGGATGATGAGTTTGCTGTGTGCAGCTCTTATGCTACTTGGCTGCCTTTGTCAAGGGGTTGAGATCCTGCAGAAGGAAGGGTCCCACGTGAATTGTACAGGGGGTAGCTACTTGAGAGACGTGGTTTTCAGTACAGGTGAGCTGTGAGGGCTGACCTAGCCCCATCCTGGAGTACTGTAAGCCTGCGTTTAATTTCTAAATGAGTTAAAAGAAGGAACTGGGGATCAAACTGCAGTGTAGAGAGAGCCGGTCGCTAGATGGCAGCAGTAGATGACAAACATTACAGAGCAAATGCACATCTTGTAGGTTGGCAAGTAGCTGGGAGAGGATTTTTTTGGCAATACCTTCTGTTGGACCAACGATATTGTTGGAGGTGATGTTGGCCAAGCTTTTGGGCAGTTTTTCAGGGGCTTCCTGCCTGTTTTTGCTGGAAGCATTTAAATGATCATCCTTCACCCCAAGGTGGAAGTATGAGCGCTCCCTGCCTTTCTGACACAGGTGCTGACTTTGAGTGATGCCTTATGACAGGGAGCGAGAGACCTGGTAGACTCTGGGCTGTATTTCTGAGCCTGGCAGAAATGATGTCCATTTAAGAGTTAGCTGCTTGATTTTCCTGAAACTTTCACTTCCAAGGGCCCAGCTCCCTCCTCAGCAGTCCCGGGCGGTTGGAGAAGCGGTGCCCAGCTGCAGTCACCTCAGCCATCCTGCACAGCTGTTTGCAGGGGCTTTGAATGTCCCAGGATACTTCACGGACCCTTAGCATTGTCGGGAGGATCGGGGAGGAAGGAACCAAACCCCATGAAGTATGCAGGTTGTACTGTAACACATCGATGGGGACACAGGTGGACTTTTAAAGTCTGCAAACTGAAGCAAGGGAGCGGCAGCCAATTCAGACTGCGTTTGTCCACATGCCGCTCCTACGTTCAGCGCTTAAGAGATTTGGAAAACAAACTCTTTGGAAATCATCTATACTTGCATATATACTCTTGCCTCGTAGCATCTGCTCTCTGCCCCCATGGGTGACGGGCCGATTTGTTATGCCCCAAGAAATGCGAGCGTAAGCCTACCAAAGGGATCTTGAAACCTTCCTGATCAGGGAGACTGCTAGAGATAAAGTAACTCATTACCTGGGACAACTAAAGAGAAAACAAGGATGGGAGCATGGGTCACAGGTTAATGAGTGTTCCCGAGAGCAACGCCAAGCAAAGCGTGCCAGCCGGTGCCTGCTGCCCCTCAGCCGACTTCACGGAGCCGGTGGACGCCACCCAGTGAAACTACCCAGACACACGAGCGAAGGAGTGATAGAAAAAGGCCCCGCAGTCACTGGGGTTCCCCTCCAGCCAGAGCCTCCTTCTTGGATAGATGGCGAGTTTGGCCAGAGCCAGGAGGAGATTGACCAGCAAGTCCCAGGACTTGGTGGGGCTGCGGATGGGGAGTGCACAAAGGAAGAGGTGCAGGGAGAAGTGCAGCCAAAATCTTAGCAGAGAGGTCCTGCGCGAGGCCGGGTGCTGGGCTAGGTGGGCCTGTGGGGCATCCCATGCATTCCCAGCAGCCTAGGGCAAGAGCGTATTTAAGTACCAACGTCCCCCTTGAACAAGGTATTGCTTCAAGAGGGCTGTAGCCCTCATCGTTGGACCGGGCATCAGGAGACCTGGGTTCCACTCCCGGCCCTGACCCTTTCCTACGTGGCTGCGGGAAGTCACCCCACCCCACCTACATTTCTCATCCACACTTGCTGCGTCTTGTCTTGACAATGAGCTTTTTTGGAGCAGAGGCTGTTTCTTGCTATGGGTTTGTGCAGCGCTATCTCTGCGGGAACCCTCTCGGCACTCCTGCAAAAACAATCATCCTTTCCTCTGGCTTTTAGGCACGGTAAAAGGGTCCTTGTGCATGTGGGGGGGCCAGCAGTTTTGTTCAACATAGGGATCTGGGCTTGTTGAATGGTAAAGAAGGATACAAGAGGTTTAATGGTAAAGAGGACATGAGAAACAATAGGGAAGGGCACTGCAGAAGTAAAGCCTGCTGGAGGCAGGGATTGAACCTATGCCCTTTGGATGGGTAGACCAATGCTCTGCCAGTTGGGAGCCCGCAGGCAGCTTCTCAAAGCTGGTGCTTGCGGCATCTGTGCCAATGCCTGGATAACGGGCCCAGTAGGTGGACTTCAACTGGCAAGCGCTGTCCCATGAAACCTGAGACCTGCTCTGCCTCATGTACCCCATCCCTGTGGTTTCCATCCTCCGACACTGGGCCCTCTGCCTCCTTCTCCCATCACAAACTTCCCTGGAGTCGGCTATAAACCCTTCCCAGGCGTGAAGGCGAATGCGGGGTGAACGCCATTCTTCGCATG